TATATATATTTATATATATCTTTAGTCTCAAGCTTATACATTTGATTTTTTTTTAGGATTCATAAATTATCAACTATTGTAATTTATACATGAAGATTACTTTAAAACTTAAATACATAATATTAACTTTAACTAATAATAAGAAGCTTCGATTTAACTAAAAATTTTATATAAACTATGCCGCTAAACCCTAATTAATCGCACCAGTCGATCCATTATGGATTTCTCAGCTACTTGATTACACACATATTCTTGCTGATGGATATATATTCTTAAAATAGTTGTGTTATTTGGAAATGGACTTTCTGACAACTTAAACTGACATTAAAAAGTGGTCCGCGTACCTACTAGATGCTACCAGAACTTGGGTATATGTGTATTATATATAATCATTATGTATATGAAAAACGATAAATCTTTAAACGATCGATCGATCAAACGGCTATAAAATATGAACCGGACAGGATTTAATTTGTTCCTACTTCCTATGGATAAAACCTTTTGTCTTTTTGTTCCAGAGGAACCCTTCATTGTGGTACATGAGTTCTTTTACATCATGCATGACGTCATTTTATGTAAAAAAGTAATACTTTTCCAGTTCTAAATATAAAACTCTTATATACACTAGTATAAGGGTTTTATATTTAAGACTGGAAGAGTACCATTATACTAGTATACATGCTCCCAATCCTATTTTTTACTCATCTTTTTATAAGTTACTTTTAGTACATCAAAATCAATGAAAGTTTTAAAATTTATTGAAATTAACAAATTTTTCAACTTTATTTTTTTTAAATCCATTTTCTGAGAAGTCGAAAAGCCAAGTTTGGAAACTATAAACTAACATTGACTAAGGATAATATGCCAAAAAAAAAAATTCTCGCATAACACCTTATTGAAAAGATAAAAAATTTCTCCTCTAAATGTCTTTTAAGAATGATAAGAATTGTAAGAGAATTTTAAGGTCCTAATTATAAATCACATCAGCTTGCAGTCCAACTGATACAAAACACTTCTTTTAAGATTTTTTTAAGAGTGAGATTATGAGTTTGAACCTTAAATAAAAAGTTTAATCGCTGCACAAGTTATGAGAAAAAATTATAAATCATAGAATTTCTAAAACACCATATATGTAAGGATAAAAATTTTCGCAGAACCGTAATCGAGAGGCAGTTAAAAGTGAGATGATGAACGGAAATAGTTAATTAAGATAACCTAATTTTTCAATGAAATGGGATTCTAATAATGAAAATATAACGTAGTACTACCTATAAACTGGACACATGTAAGTTTTTTGAGTACTAGCAATGTGTGATGGATGATGAAGAACAAAGAAGTAGTGGGACTAGTGGTGATTCATTTGATTGATGCCATGCGTATAAACGTAGTTAATCTTCTATGAGAATCTTACACGTGGCAGGCAGAGTCAATAATTTTGTCACCATATAATAATGCTGCCAAAAACACATACAGGGATGTATTTGTTGGAACACACACAATTGAATTTTGAAAAAGTTAAGGATAGTAGTAGCAACGGATATAATTCTCAGAGAGCTTTTCTTTTGCTTCCTTTGTTTTTTTTCTCTCTTTCATTTTCGTTCATGGAAAAATCCAACTCCCCACAAAACAAACCTTCATCATTGTACCTATTGTGGCTTCATCAAGTTCATCATCCCCATTTGTTTCTTCTTTCTTCTATCACTTCGCATTCAATATTATTTGTTTATATATCGGTTTTCCTTTCAGCACTATACGGCGTGTTGCTACTATATTACTAAACTCATATAATTGCTACGCTAAAAATCGTGTTTTATTGATAAGGACGTAACTTTATTTTATTTTTTTAAACAATTAGAAAACTCAAACAATTAGATGAGTTTTCGTAGTATTTGAGAAATACATCATGTCATTTTGAGGAGGGATGAATATTACTACTTCTGGATCTTAATATAAGAGTTACTTGGAGATTTAATTTATACTTTGTTTCAGATATTTATCTATTTTGCCCTCAAATAATACCTATGATGATTGCATATGTTGAGGGATTATTATCAAGAGGTAATTCAAATACACATGATGAATAAACATATTTTAAAGAGAATAACATCTATTTATTATAAATAACTAATTTAACTAATTTCTTTTTATATTAAGGATTGAAGGTAAAAGTACGATTCCCTCTAATTCTTAATTCTTAATATAGGAATAAGATAATTAAGTTGTAGAGATTAAAAAAACAAGTTAAATTTATTTATAAAAAATATGTATTGATTTCTCTAAAATACCTCCTTTAATATTAGAACTATCCCTTAATAAAAATCCTCTGTGTTCTTTTTCCTAAATTTTCTAAAAAATGATTAAAAAGACTTTGATACACCTGTTAAATAAATGGGCGACATCTCCGAAGATGCAGATAAGAAAAATGAGGACCGTTAATTAATAATAGAAGTGAAAAGACAGGATAAATTTAAAGGCATTGTTTGCCAGAATTTAAAGGCATTAATTATTATGTTTTGTGTAAAATAAATAATTTTGTCGTATAAAAATCAACGAAAGGAGTATATATAACAATATATCTTATATCTATATCGACATTCTAAAATTATAATAATATACAATAATTTTACTACTAATTGGAAGTTAATTAATGTACAAATATTGTAAATCCTTATATATAATTTACATGTCCAAGGAAAAAAAACGAGACACCCTGCGTGTCTCAACCACACACCACAGGTTTCATTTGAGCTTAGATATTATCTCGTCGATCGGATACCATATGGGGAAAGTAGAGTTGAAAATAAAAATTAAAAAGAAAGAATATAGTATTTTGGACCCAAATTTTATTTATGCACTGGCAATTAATGAAAATATCGAAGGTAATATACATGAATGAAAATTCGTGATAGGAAAAGTATAAAATAAATACATGTTATTATCAAGTAATAATAGTACTACCTCGTGTTCTTAACACAAGACTTTGTTTGACTTTTATTTTGGTTCTAAATATAAGACCCTAATCCACTTTATCTCTCATATTTATATATTTTTTTTAAGATAGTCTTTCTAACAATAATAGTTTTAGCCAATACACTTGATTAGTAATGATATTTTAAGAAATACAATACTTATTTATTACAAATAACTAATTTAATTTTTTTTCTTAATCTCTTCAAATTAGTCAATTAGCTCTTATAAATAGGACTGGAAGTAGTATATTTATATGAAAAATTAACCAAGGGAAAATTGGTGGCAAAAAAGGGGAAAATAATTATCATTTTCAGATTTAGATAATCTCCTGTAAGAAAGAATCATGTTTTCTTTTTATTAGTTTGATGCAACGGTTTGAACAGGATTAGACCGGTGCAAAAAATATACCAAATTAAACAAACAAGAAAGATAGAAAACAAAAGAGGAGATGGAATTAACTGTTAAAAGGAAATCACACATTTTTTTTTTAATGTTTAATTTTGAAGCTCCCACTAAACACGGTCTCTACATTGACCTGTTCAAAGTGGGGAAAAGATTTGCCGACAGTGCCATAACGTACAGTAATACTCCCCAGGAATTTCCTTCCAATACACCAACCAATTATAAGGAGCGACAGAGAGTTCTCGTGGACAATGCATGTAAACAAATATGGTTATTAAAATAATCTCTTTTCTTAATGATGTCCTAATACAATGTCACAAAATCAAAACAACTCCCCAGGAATTTCCTTTCAATACACCAACCAATTAAAAAAATACCCAAATTTCACTGCATCCCCAACATCACGGAACCTTAACTACTTATTTGGATCATATTAAAGCAAATATGTAAGAAAAGTTTTGTTTCATAAAGGTAAAAATTTTTTAAAGTGAAGGAAAATATAGCATAAAATCACGTAAATAAGCTGATTCAAATAGACACTAGGAATAGATAATCAGTGAATAGTTTAGACAAATTAGATAAATTTAAACTGATGAGAAAGATTTGGGATTAAGACGTGGGATTAAGTTGATGTGTAAATTATAATACTGGTTTTAATAAAATGAATGAATTGGAAAATTCATTTGAGGAGTATTTCAATTCATACTGTAGGATGTACGAGTGAAGTTAATTAAAGAACTGGTCAAATGAAGGGGGTTGGTTAAGAGGGGGATTAGTGAGGGGGAAAGGAGGAGGAAGGGGAGGGGAGGCGCGTGGGGTAGGAGATGAGATGTGACGTAGATTTAGAAGCACAACCAAGAGAAATGGCCACGTGTATTCCCAGTGTCACTCTTCTTCTCTTAGAGGCACAAACGCGGGGTTCGACGTGTACATTTCAACTAATACTCACGTCACAACAAAATTGCCCTCCCCACTCACTTCTTATTGACTCACTTATCCCCAAAATTACAGCACCAAAACAAACACAGCAACAAATCCCCATTTCCTTCTTTTTTCTTTTTCCAATTTTAAAATTAGATATTATTAACCGTACCTTGAAATGTTTAAAATTATAAGTGAGATTGAACCCGTTAAACTATAAAGTCAAACGGGTTAGTAATAAAGCTTCGTTTCTTCTAATTCAATCTTATTGGTTATTGCTTATCATCACTGTCCATAAAGGGGCTAATTAAGAGCCAACATCGCAACAACACCTACACATTGCTCTGTTCTTGCTGCTTTTATTTCGTGCTCTGTTTCTGCCGCTCTTGTCATGTGTGATTGCTCTTGATTTAAGGAACTTTCTCCGACTTGCTGTTTGTAGTATCATTATTTTATTTTGTTCTGGAGAGATACAATGTGTGTGTGCGTGGTCGTGGCATTTCATCATGCAGCTTATGCTCCTCTTACTACCCCACATGGTTTTCATCACTTATTGGGCTTCCTACTTTTCTTTTCTTTTCCTTCTCTCTCTCTCTCATTTAGTCCCCAGGTTTCACTAATCCTACACGTGCCACGTGGTCCTCTTAACCTCCATTTTCGCCCTATATATATCCTCCGTCTCCGTTCATTTCCCCCCCAACTCTCTCTTTCTCTCTCTGATCATTCAAATATTTCATTCTTCAATCCCAAGTTTCAAACTCAATTCCCTATACTCTCTCTCCTTCTTCTCCACCACAGTGTTCGCAGTATTACTTCCACTCCTTCACAATACAGCAACATGGCTTCTTCTGCTGGCACTGCACCTTCCAGTAGTTGGATCAACACTAAACTTTCCTCCTCCTCCTCTTCTTCTTTGCCATTCAAGGACCTGGCCTCTGTTTCCTTGAAGAGATCATCGTCTCGAAACGGAAAGCCTACTATATCGTGTTCCCTCCAAACTCTGCCTTTTCCCAAGAAGTATCACTCTCCGGCAAAAACCACCACACCCGCCAAAGAAACATCTCAAAAACCGGCTCTTGACTACGATATTGATCAGCCCGTGCCACAAAAATGGAATCTTTTCCAGAAAGTGGCGTCTGTGGCGTTGGACACAGTCGAGAACGCCTTGATTTCTCACGAGCGTCAGCACCCACTTCCTAAAACGGCCGACCCACGGGTCCAAATCGCCGGAAACTTCGCTCCGGTGCCGGAGCAGCCCGTCCAGCACTCTCTCCCGGTCACCGGGAAGATCCCCAAATGCATTCGGGGGTTATACGTGCGAAACGGAGCGAACCCACTGTACGAGCCTGTTGCCGGGCACCACTTGTTCGACGGCGACGGCATGGTCCACGCCGTCCAATTCAAGGAAAACGGCTCCGTCAGCTATGCTTGCAGGTTCACCGAAACCAACCGTTTCGTCCAAGAAAAGTCCTTGGGGCGTCCTGTTTTCCCTAAAGCCATCGGCGAACTTCACGGCCATTTGGGAATAGCACGCCTTTTACTGTTCTACGCTCGCGGCCTGTTTGGGCTTGTCGACGGAAGTAATGGAATGGGAGTGGCGAACGCCGGTTTAGTGTATTTCAACAATCGCCTTCTCGCCATGTCCGAAGACGATTTGCCTTACCAGGTGAAGATCAAGCCCAGTGGGGATCTCAAGACAGTTGGTCGTTACGATTTCTCGGGTCAGCTCAAATCCACAATGATCGCTCATCCCAAAGTCGACCCTGTTTCCGGCGATCTTTTCGCTCTCAGCTATGATGTAATTCAGAAGCCTTACTTGAAGTACTTCCGATTCTCTCCGGAAGGAAAGAAGTCTCCTGACGTTGAGATTCCTGTTTCTGAGCCCACTATGATGCATGATTTTGCGATTACGGAGAATTTCGTGGTGGTGCCAGATCAGCAGGTGGTGTTCAAGCTGTCGGAGATGATACGAGGTGGTTCTCCGGTGATATACGACAAGAACAAGATGTCTCGCTTCGGGATTCTTGATAAGAATGCCAATGATGCTTCTGGGATCAGATGGATTGAAGCTCCTGACTGTTTCTGCTTCCATCTCTGGAATGCTTGGGAGGAGCCAGAGACCGACGAGGTTGTCGTGATCGGGTCTTGCATGACTCCGGCAGACTCCATTTTCAATGAATGCGAGGAGAATCTGAAGAGCGTTCTATCTGAAATTAGATTGAACTTGAAAACAGGCAAATCAACTCGCCGACCCATTCTTTCAGAACAGATGAATCTCGAAGCTGGAATGGTGAACAGGAACAAGCTCGGAAGGAAGACAAAGTTCGCATATTTGGCTCTTGCAGAGCCATGGCCCAAAGTTTCAGGCTTTGCAAAAGTGGACCTATCCACCGGAGAGGTGAAGAAGCATATCTATGGCGACAAAAGGTTTGGTGGCGAGCCTCTGTTTTTACCCAGAGACCCAAATTCCGAGAGAGAAGACGATGGCTATATCTTAGCATTTGTACATGATGAGAAGGAATGGAAGTCAGAGCTGCAGATTGTGAATGCCATGAATTTGAAGCTTGAAGCTTCCATTAAGCTTCCTTCCAGGGTTCCCTATGGCTTCCATGGAACCTTCATACATTCGAAGGATTTGCAGAAGCAAGCTTGAAGGTTGAAACTTCAACTTGTTCATCTTCATCTTCATATAGCTTAATAGTGTGCGAGAAGTTGAGATTTTTCCTGAGGGATGCTTGCAGATATGTCCCCGGAATCTCCTTCCCTGTTTTCAGAACCTTCTTTTTTTTTTTTTTTAAAAATTTTTTTGGTGTTTGATTTGGAGTGAGAGGTTTTGGGGGGACCAGCTCGTAGCTTTTGGGTGTAGTTAGCAATGAAGCTCAGCTGGTTTCTGCTTATTCTTTCACTTGTGGGGAAAAATAGTACAAAAATTTACAGCATATACGATGTGATATACTCTGTTTATTATCTTCCACGTTCATCTCTGTAAATTTTCAGTTGTGTATACAAGAAATAATATTCCTTCTTCCTCTATTCCCTTCTTGTTTCAAAGCAATATTTGATGCTGAATTTATCATTTATGTTCAACATATTAGAAAAGGAAATTAAAAAAAAAAATCTGACTCCATAGTCAACACACCAATTTATCTTCAGTTTGTTCATCATTGAAAATTAGTCAAATGACACAAAAATAGAGTTAGATAATTGGAGTAGGGAAGGCGGTTTAAGTTGAAATGTTAAATCACTTGTGCAATCAGTAGTTCACTGAACAGTTTGAATTTTGTAGCACTTAGAGATTTGCTTCAGCACATGTTAAAATTTATGATAATATCCAATCAGAGCACAATATATTGGGAAGAAATGGAGGAACAATATCTAGCCCCAAAACCGATTAAAAAGTAAAGACATTTTTTTTTCACATGGCAAAATATGTCAAATCCAAGTCAACTTGGCAAGTGTTGATGAACAAGGAAACCCCTGATATTTGTAGCTAATAAGAGAACATATAACAGTGACATGTGATGAAAGTGTCTTGACTTGCAACTCAATTATTGAAGAGAAGAAGAAGAGGCCTAGAGGGTCCATTATTAGGTGCCATATTTTTCCATTTTGAAGACGAAAGCTTTCATAATGTCACAACAAGCAACTTGGGACTATAACTCACTCCTCAGAGTATGGACAAGTGTATTAAAACTAGAGCTTTAAATTTTAGCAACCTATCCTACTTTTTTTTATGGTTCTGTTCAATATTGGCTTTGCCAACTTGCAAATGGGGTTTTCTTCATTCATAGTGCAAGCCAGTTTAATTTTCTCACGACCTTGTTTTGTGTTTTTTCTTACACTGGGGAACATGTCCTTGCTTCTCAAAGTCCACGAGTCACTCATGAATCATGACCCGATTATATATTATGAACAAGATTTAATTAAGGTTTGGTAATTATATATTATCTCCTATTCTTAATATAAGAACTAAAATAAGTGCATGATTGATTTTTAATAGATATAACTTCAATTTACTTTGTTTTTCAAATTTATAAATTGTCCCTCAAACTATCCATATAGTTTACATATATGAAAGGAGATTTCGATCAATGAGGGTAATGATCAAAGGATGTACATATTTTAAAAAAAAACCAACATATATTTATTGCAAACTAATTAATTTAACTAAGTTTATTAATATATACTAATCAGTTATCTGTTTTTTATATTTTAAAGTGGAAGGAGTATATTAGATTAAATTAAGAATAATAAATCAGAACCAGACATACCATTACCAGTGATCACAAGGAATGAATTTATATCTAATTTTTATTTGTTAGTTGAGGAATCTTGGTTCGGTTAAAGGAGAGCATTGAGACAAAGAGGGAAACAATCAACGATAATGCACTCATCAAAGCTAAAAGAGAGAAGAATCTGTCAAACTGTGGCTTGTCACTTGGTAAAATCCTATTAGTCCATGTGGATCCATATATGTGTGTGCATATATATAATAAGGTTAATTTACCAACTGCAATTACGTCTAGCGGAGTAGGCTAATCTTTTACAACCTAAATAAACCAAGGTTCGAATATCTGTTGGAAGAAGTACTAATATTTAGTACAAGATAATGTCTCGAATAGGATTAGTTCCAAATAAGACGGTCCCTATACATAGTTTCAAAACAAATAGATTAATTTGCGGATGATCGATCTAGAAGTGGCATACCTATATCAGAAACATGTATAAAGATAATTTCCATTAACACACAAAATGGTGAGACAAAAGATTGTGCATGATAAAGTGACAAAGTCATCAATGTCCATTATACTCACATACATCAAGAGAATTCTAAAACGGTTTTAATTTGGAGTTTGCATTATATCTTAAAATGACCATTACTAAGCATCCAAAGTGTAGTGACTACAAATAGTACGTATATATATATTTTATAGTTACATGAACGTACAAGACTAAAATTCATAAACACACTTGTGTTCTAATTTGACAAGCAACCATTATTTCATCAACATATAAAATAATAAGGCATTTAAGATTTTAACGTTTGCAATGACTTTCATTAGTCTTAAAGTATTCATTTGGACTGTAAAAGTCGGCAGATTTTGTGGGACTTGGACTTTTTTAACACTTGGCTTCAATTTTACAGTTCCCTTTCGGAGTAGACAACATATACTTTTATTTTAATCATTTTCTGGTCAACAAAACCATCATTAATATTTGCAAAACTCAAGTGTGTTTGGTGTGTGAACAGCAATTTTAGGTGGCTAAGGAAAACATATGTTGAATTATTTTATGCTCCTTTATATTATATATATATCACAAAATGATTCAAGAATATTTCCACAATAATGCTACTTCATTTTTTCTTCGTCTTTTTGAATTCAATAACAATTTTTGTTTTGGTCAAAAATTGCCCAAAATGATTGTCTCATTTAAAATATTTTTAAATCTAGCCAGCTTCTGATGAATGAGGTTAGTAGTGTATATGGATGAGGTTAGTAGTGTATTACAGGCGTCTAGTAACAATCTTAATTAGTGTAACAAGAATGACGTACGTTAACTTGCTAACAAAACAAAGATGAGCAGAACATCATAAAAAAAATACTACATCTCATAGTAGCACCATTTTGTTGCAGTCATGTTTTTATATATATATATATATATATATATTTGCAGCTAGAAATCCATTTTGCTCCAAATTAAAGTTCACTTTTGCAGCATCCCATACTCTGGCACGTTATTCCACGTTGAATATAAAACAATATCATAAAAAACAATACAACACAGTTCCGAAGAGTCCTGAACACCACACATATTCACTCTATGAGCTATTTCAATCCTTCTATTCTCTAACAGTCATCAAAAGCTTCTGGCTGTCCTTCAACGGCAGCTTCGTCGCCCACCTCAGCAATTAAAAGGCCTACACACACACACACACACACACATATCAGGAAACTCCAGTTCAACACATTTCCCTAAGGACATAGCCTGTATTAGAAATACATATTCAATTTTTATTGTGTGACACTTTTACGTACGACCAGAAGCTGCTGGCTCTCCTTCAATTCAATGGCCGCTTCATGGAACAGCTCAGCATTAAAAAGGGTTTTATGACACACATTATCGGCTTGCATATGCAACACAATTCCCTATGAGTCCTTAACACCACATAGCTAACCATATGAGACAAGTAATAACTTCTTTTTCTGCGGCACTCACCAATAAAGTCTCTTACTTGGCTCTCCCTTCCTGAACGGCAGCTTCAATATTAAAAAAAGATTTTATCCTTTTCCATAGAGCACCACTCACAGCCCACTAATTCACCTTCTATTTATGAACAAAACCCACAAAAGATGTCAACCCAATATGTGTGCGTATTTATGTACCATATGCAATTGTTAGCTGGATCAGATCATAGAACTTTGTGCAACAATTGGATGATAGTGAAGAGTTAGGAGAAAAGGCTTGTATAATGGGTATGTGGCTCTGAATGCTTCAAATTTTATTCAAATTTTGGCTTCTTAATTTGCAAAATTATTACTTGCAAATATCTGTGTGTATTTATAAGACTGTCTCCTCTTTTATATATATAGAGAGATACTTTCAAGTTTAAAATTTTAAATGAGGCTTTTAGCTTTGGATCACAGTTGGGAACAGAACCATATTGTTCAACAAATTAAAGCTTGTGGCAAATTTAATTAATGTGTGGTATTGTTAATTACTACCAAGTCACATGGCATTGAATTAATTAAAGAGTTAATTGATGAGGTGAATGAGGGTCATTATCAATGGGATCCTTAGTGAGTGTGTGTACGTACGTATGTATACGCATGCACAGTGTAGATTCCTAATGAGCTGGCTGGATGGATGGACCATTCACGATGAAGAATGACGCCACGTATCATTTTTGGAAGACAACAAACAAATAATTTTTTGGTTTGAGTCAAAAGGGTAATTATGAGACCACCTTGATTTTATTGGGATATAACGAGGATTCAACTTTGTCGTAAATTCTTCATTCACACTTTTCATTTCCATTTCATTCAATTTCAAGTAGTTTTCTTTCTTTTATTTTTATTTTTTTTTATATTGGGTGAATACTGAAAACAGTTCAAGTAGTTTTAAACGTGAAAGACTATATTGATTATTACTGTCATGAATTACTTAGTCAACGACCATGTGTCTCATCATATGTTAACATGTTAATATTGTGGTTAATGGGTTAAACTTTATACTTAACATATGTTAACCATGCATTGAAGTATTCTTTTATTCTTTATCAGATTTAACTCCTCAATCCTTATATGTAGCGTGTCAACTATGCTCTCAAAGATTTTAAAAATTTTGATGAACACTCAATTCGCTTTTTTCTTTGGGTAACATTAAATGCTAAGGGTAATTCCAGAAAAATAGGATAAGTTATTGACAAATTTATTACTAATTAAGTAATTTGACAAATCTTCTTAATTTTTATGAATTAGTTGAAAGATTTATACACAACAATATGGCAAGATATAGAAGAAGAAGGAGCCAAACAGCTAATTAAACATGCGAAAGGAGAATTGAATTCAATTTCCAGTGGGGATTTCATTTTCAAGCCTATGAGCAGCCGAAAACGCTTAATTAGCAAATTAATGATATGATTCCTACGGTGTATGTGAGCCACAAGCTGGGAGAATGGAGAGTGACCCACAAAGCCTCAAAATATACCTTTTTCCATATAAACTCCAAATTAAAATCACTGTCCCTCAAAATTGACTATTGAATTGCATTATATCAATCTGACACCTTCCAATAGAAACCCCCTCAAACACTCAAAACTCTCTCTCCCTTTACCACATGCACATTGGAATAATTGAAAGGAAAAAAGAATAGTAGACCCACTTCTGATTACTACGTGACCGTCCAAGTTGTGGAATATAGCCATTCAATTTAATATTAGTTTTTTAAAATTCTTGGAAGATTCAATCAAAAGTTACAATAATTTAAATATACATCAAATGAAAAATAAGAGAAATGAATTTAGTAGATTCAATTTAACAGACTAATAATTTGATAATATTTTTGTGGTAATAAATTAGAAATTCAAAATTTTAAAAGATATAGAATTTTGATATATCAAAATTATTCAATATGGTATATAAAGAATTCTTCCAAAATTAAAAGAGACAAATTAAATACCTACTCCGTCGGTGCCTGTATATCTTTGTCAAGTTACAAATTGTGGACACCTCAAATATGAGGCTTGTTCATATTTGACACATGTTTAATAGTTATACTTAAATAATTTCGTCCTTCAATTTATCATGTTGTAAATTGTCAGTATTCATATTGAATCTCATATATATATATATATATATATATTTCTTTATTGACCCTTTCAACCATTTGTCTTGTTACCATCCATCTCAATCTTCAAGTTGCGACATCAATACATGGACACTTCAATTTCGATACATATACTTGTATATATATGTTCCAGACTCGTATCAAACACAATCACTTTGTTAACTTACTCGCACATGTACATTTTAGGGTTTATTGTCAGTTGTCACAGCCTCCCAAGTGCACGATTAGAATACTTAATTTAGAAAATCTAATTTAGCAATAGTAGCTTTTTAAAGTTTTGACTGGGAAAACTGTGGTTTGAGAAGCAAATGACATTGTAAAAACTGACGTTTAAAGGCTACAATGTGAGAAATCAAACACACATGGTGGATGACATGTTTGGTTCCCCATTTAGTGAACGTAACACGGCCATTACGTCTTTGTTTTGCAAGCTCTGGGTTAAGGATTTTTAATCCGGAAGCATTCATGAAGGAGATGTGGATATTTTGAAGTTTTTTTAGCTCAATGTTACTCTAAAAGTATCAAAAAAAGAGTAGCGTCGTTCTGACAGTCAAAAAAGTAATGTTGGCTACTAAAAAACTTAGTATTAATGGTTAACATTTTTTAACAAAAAGGGTGATATTGCTCTTCTTTTAACGTTTATGGGGTGATATTGAGTCAAAAAAAACTTTCGGCGAATAGCTTCTTCACGAATACTTCCATGACAAAATGACCCTTAACCCACTTAAACTTGCAAAATTTAATCTAAACACAGGCTCAATTTGTATTATATTTGTATGAGTAAATTATATCTTTAAGGAGGTAGAAAGATGCTTTTTCCCGGTATGGGAAGCAAGGGATCTAAAAGAGGGATCAGGCAAAAAAATCAGAGGAAAAAAAATCAGACAATTAACAGAAAAACTGAAAGCAACCCCATTGAGAGGGAGAGATATAATATAAAATACAAAACCCCCTGCTTGTTTATTTATTTTTGCTTACTGGGTTTCCAATCTCTTGAACTGCGCACTGATAATTTATCAGTTCAGATTAATGTCAGACTCTGGAAGGCGACAATTATTGGGATAAAGCAGCAGCAATATATAAAGTAGAAGTGATGGAACAAAAATGATTTAAAATTATTGTGCGAATTAAGCAAATGGAAAGTTTTGTTCATTTTTCGTGAAATTGGAGGATGACGAACAAGATGATGCATGCTCTTACCTAATAAATTTCATTTAGGTCTATACATTATTAAAACGCAACAAAAAGTACCATCCCAATTTCTTATGGCTCACAAAGGACCCAACATTCCTTCATTAGTAATGAACTCATAAGAACTTCATAAAATAGTAAATATTGGTGTCATTTGGCTGCAAGCAGAAAGTAGCAACAAGAGAATATATATAAACCGCACAATCACGTAACAGAAGATTGTGGCAGTTAGTGAGTCACTGAGAAAGCCGCCATTAAAGCTTGAGGATTTTATTAGAATTGTTAAAGCTTTATTTATCTAATCCAAAGACTGTGTAATGCCTTTAAATTGAAGTTGCTTTCGATCTCAAACTCACATTCAACTTCATTAATTGGTTCCTCAGCTAATGTATCATTAATTTTATCCCCAAGGATATCATAGAAAAACTAAGCACCAAAAAGATATTCTGTTCATGATCCCTTTCTGCTACAGCACTAACTGTACTGCATCTTTTTTTGTTCCACAAGAAAAAAAATATTAATGAATGCTTTCAGTTATCGATACATATCATATAATTGTGTAACACGCCCATCGTTTTTCTTTCAATTTATAGAATGAAGAGTGGCCAATGGTTTATCATAATATATTGGACGGATCAGAACAAATTCTATTTGTGCCAAAAGATAACTGCTGAAGTCACTTAGAAAAGCTATCACATGATGTCCTCTCTGACAAGTTTCCTTGATATAATATATAAGCTATAGAATGCAACCCTTGAACCAAGAGCGATGAATATGAAGAATTGTGGCACTAGAGACTACTGACCATATTCAAAAGTGCCAAAATAAACATTACCATTAAATTTTTCAGAACCAAATTAACACTTACTAGCTAGCCCTACATTTTGCTGGCAAATTATGGTCTCTAAGAATGAAAAGTCATCAAAAGGGGGCTAGAATGTTCCAAGGAGGCCGAGCGTTTTATTTTATTAATTCACTGGATCCAATTGTTGGACTCGAGGATGATTTTGGAGCAAGCAGTATACACACACAGACACATATAAATGAGTGCTCGAAAATCCTTGCGGCAAATCCTCCCATTTAAATTATTGTTAAATAACTCTGTGGAGTTATGGCTTTCAGCTCAATGATATGCTACAGTAATTGATGATGCAAGCAGAACCATGTGGCTACACTTCTGAGGTGTGTGCCTGTGTCTACTAACTTATATATATATATATATATATATATATATTATAATCAAAGAGGGAGCTAAAGAAGTTAGAGTGTACATTAAAACATTTGTCTGATTCAATTTCAAGCGCCGCATAGAAAGCTTCGAGAAGATAAGGTCAAGAAAAATTTTCTGTGAGTCACTGACATAATCAAAATTCGTGTGTGTGTGTGTGTGTTTTTTTTTTTTTTTTAAATATATGAATACGAGATAAGAGAATAGAGACACTTGGTGAAGAACAGAAGATGATACGTGTCCAAAGCTGCACATCAATGACATGGATCCAACAGACATCAAGCCTCCTTGAAGATTTTTGACCGCCGCAATTCGATATATGTGTGTGTGTGTGTGTGTGTATTTTCATAGTCCATGATGGCTGTAGTTGAATAATTGTCAGATATCAGATGTACATGTTCCCCTCAAGCATTACAATTTTTTAGACACCGTTTCGTTTGTCTTGTTTTTGGTTTACAAATGACAACACAAAAACTGAGGTTTCAAATCTTCGCCTTCAATTTTACTATGTCCCTACGATCAGCTGTTCTTTCACCACCTTTTTTGTTTCTTTATCGTTTAACTTTTTAAAAACTTTTCGCTTGAACTGACGGCATGCTTGGATTTGAGAGCTCAAAACGATGGTTGATATTATTTGTTCGATCAAGAACAATTTGGTAAATTTTCGTTTTACAGATGCTAATATGAAGACATACACTGTATAGTTGACTATTTTCCTTAAATTTGGTGATATGCTAAAAAGATATTTTTGATACACTGTCGTTGACGAATAACATGTTTGACTTCCAAGTTTATTAAAAGTATCATCACCACTAATAAGCAATAACATTTGTGTTTAATTTCACATTGATTAAAACCATTAAGAGTCAAGACTTGTTTTGATAAGAATATGCAATTGTGTTATGCTCAAATCCTTTGAGTGCTATGAGAAACCCAATCGTTTGAAAGTATCGTAGATTTCCAATGGCCTCTTCTAACTCATAAGAAGGAATTAATTTTGTTACAATTTTCAACACAAGTCCACAAGTCCAATCCATATTTTCAATTTACAACATTAACGGATGCCGCAAATTTCAGAAATTCTATAAAGTGGCAACTTATATCCATTAGGCGCCCACAACATGCGAACTGAGAGATCAAAGAAGGACAACGATGATACATTTGCACAATGTGTAAGAACGAAAGGCAAATGCTATCGCTCGTTTAGAATAGCAATGAAAACATTCAAAAATAGTTTTTTAATCACAATTCACATCTTAAATTATGAAGCAGAACAAGCAAAACAAATCGACATGTAAATTATGAATATATTTTTTTAAAAAAAAATTGGTATACCCCATAAAACCCACACTAATTAGGAAATAAAATTCAACACTCTCAATCTCCACATATTGATGCTCACTATGGTAAGAACATGGATCAGATGTAATATGTTATAAAATTTTACAGTACTCCAGAACATATGATGAAATAGTTTTTGATAGTCCATTTCCTCTACGCTTAAATATCCTCTTTTGGCTATGCTTCTCTATGATACACAGCAATGAGACTCCATTCCAAAAACTTTCGAAGGCATCAATCAAATACCCATCAGCAGGGAAAAAAAAAATTACATCGGAAAAATGGCGCCACGTCATTTCTCAAGGCCTTGGGATCAAAATTTCAATTCCATAAAGCAACGAATATTCTCAGAACTGCGAGGCACCACTATTTAGCTCCCTCAGTTAGACTGCTGTGACTGCCCATCTCCAAAGAAATCCTGACGGGGCAAAACCATTAAGATGCCTACAACAGAAACCTAGCCTTTGATTCCATGATAGCCATACAATACCCTATTGCAAGCTGCAAATTGAAAAGAGATCTCATATGCCATCCCGAAAATCACACATTGTACAGCAAACATAGCTCATATTACCTCTCCCCAAAGGTTTAAAAACAAACCATGCAAGATAAGACAAAAGAGACAGAAATAACATAGATCATATAATTAAATCCGAAGCCAACAAAAAAAAAACAGAGATCATAATAATCAAATCCCTTACAAAATTAAAGAATTACAAGTGACAGTAACTTGCTTCCAGCCATTTTTCCTCAGACAACTCAGTTTCATTTACATGTTTAGCTTCATTATCAATCTTCAGTTACACAATGAGAATTTTAAACTCTAGTTACTGGTCAAATTCCACTCCATCTTTACAACTTGAACTCCTCCAAGCACAAAGTGTCTAGCTTCCAACTAAATTTCGAACACATTTTTTAAGGTTACGGTACACAATTCATTGCAATGGTCCAAGACCATTACTCTGATCGCCCATATTTAAGGTGATTGATGAATGACTAGAATTATGCCCAATTCAATCCTCAGTTAAACGGAACAATGAATGTGACCACGCATGCATAAAAATAAAATTTAAAACAGTACAATCAAGAAAATATCAGAACCATACCAGATACAAATTAGTCCTCTTCCATTGGCACCTCTGGAATGTCAAATCTGTCTTCTTCAATAGGTTTGTTAATAAAAGAGATGGGAGATGGTACTGGATTGTCAAGGAAGCAAAAATGGTACTGAAAAAGCTGCAAGCAGACAACCCTATTAGGTGGTTCATGTCAAGTTTTATTCAACACATGCTAAATTTTATATCCAACCAGGTGATAATAATGGCCAGTCTCCAATATTTCTCTTCTTTTTACTTTCAATCTGTACAACCAAACATTGGATAATATCCTTCTTGGTTGGTCAGCCGATAGCTATTTGTTGTCTCCATCAATAGGGGATGACAACCCAATACCAAGTCATTACTTTTGCGCTGAAAAGATAGAAAGACGTGTACTTTCTGTAAATAATCCTAGCCTCAACATACAGCTTCATATTTAACAAAATAATTTTCTTTTAATGGTAGCAGGGACCTCCCCTGCTTGGAGTGGAGGGAATGCATCATGTAGCGGGGGAAAAAGAAAAAAAAAACTAAAGAAAGGATATAAATAGACATTAGATCATCCTCCTTCTCGCCTCTATTACGGCTGTGGTTTAGCTCCCGGATAATTTCAGGGGTAACCTGCAGTTAAAGGAATTGATTAATTACAGACATAAATTTGAATTATAGCAAGAACCAATATTAGAGACAGTGTTCTCACTAATCTATGCTTTTGCTTATCCAGTAGATCCCTTAAATTATCCTTCTCTTCCTTCCGCAGTTCATTTTTGTACCTGAATAAATTATCAAATTAGAAGAGCATATTTTACATCACACCCCTAATACCAAGCAACACTTCTTAAACATTCGATGGATACAAATTTTTTTTTTTTTTTTAAAAAAATGAACTAGGAATCACTGACCTCTGTACAAATGCAAGAAGTGATTGGTGCCATATAACGGGCATTATCCTTGTTTCCTCAACAAATCTCGTAAAATGAGAAACAACAGCATCAACCACGCGATATGGCAAAGCATATTTTTTCTCCACAAGAAGCTTTATGAAATAGCTGCAATTATTTTAAAACGAAATATTATAGACAAGTTTTTATTCATTTATTCAACGGCTGCCCAAAAATGAACTCATAATCTTAATCATTTTAATATGAACCCAATCATACACATGGATGCTCAAAGAAACAATACAGCTTAAAAAATGCAAATAAGATCAGTTCCAAGCTTGATATCTGCAAAAATTTTCACTTTATTCACATTTATTTTTGATCTCTTATTGTATAGTAATACTCGTCAAATCACACAGGCAACTCAGTTACAATTATGCAAAATGTTAAAGATTCACAATTAGTGCTCCACCTCACTAATCGAGGCTAATGCATGCAAACTCCAAAATTTTTAAAGATTCATAATTAGTGCTCCAACTCACTAATCGAGGCTAATGCATGCAAACTCCCTTTAACACAACTATTTTTACCGCACAGTGCTCATCATTTTTTACCACACAAATTTAGACCTTTGACCCAATATCAACTCTATTCAATCTGTACATAAAACAATGTGTAACTCACAAACTTCAAAAATATCTCATCCAACATCATTAGTTAACTACTCTGTAAATTGTTCCTTCGACCCAAAAAAAAAAAAAAAACCTCGCTCCTAGGCCAATATGATGCCTTTTTTTCCCCCCGTATCACCCAAGGACCAATTAATCAATTTTGCAAAAATGATTGAACTTCATCCCAATAAATGAATTAGTAAAACTATTAAATACCTTGTTGTTCCACAATATTCCATCTCTGCAAGCTTCAACAGTGCTACACTGGAAATGTATCCAACAAATTTGGTCAGACACAGCATGCATTAAATTAAAGTAGTTCGTACTTGTACAGCTTATCTACATAAAATAATAACCAGAATGACAACCACCCTTTATCCTTTCAAATTTTAATGCCACTCTATAATATAAACTCTAATTTTAAGTTTATAAAAACTAACCCTCAACTATTATGCCGCATACCCTTTTGAAGCCTGCCTTGCTTTTCAGCTAATTTTTATAATTAAAATGTGCGAGTGACCAACTAAATATACCTTGAATGAAGTGGAGGAATGGAAACCTTTTGTATAATGCTTCCGATGATGACTGCTTCTCTGAGAGTGCATGTACGTGACTGTCCATAAAAAATATTTTCAGAATCCACAGAAAATGGACATAGATAGTAAGAACTATAACAGAGAAAAGCATACAATTTACACAATAATTGGCAGAGATTTACATCCATTGAGTTAAACTATAGTCAGAATTGGCGATTGTGGAAACTGTTATGACATCATAAGAATATAAGTAGCAATCAACATAAAGAAACCGTTGCAACATTACAAAATCCATTTCAATATTTCATAATTAAGGACTGAGATATTAATTAAATATATACAAACATACGCGTGTGTGTGTGTGTGTCTCAAAAGAAAATATGAACCTTCCGTATTTATCACAACACGATGTATTTAACAAGAATTATTGCCCAACAACTTACAACTGATACATACCTCACATAGTGGAAACAATATTCCCTTAAAGAATGCAGCAGGTTTGTAAAGTGACTTTTTCAGTGATTGATATAAAGCAAAATGCAATCTCTTGTTCTTTCTTATATCCTCTCTCACTCTTGGGAGCAGTACAAGCTTGTAGAAGCGTTCTGCCTTTTTCTGGTCGCACTTCTGCACGCAAAACAAAATAATAAATTGAACAACTGAGTCGTTTAAAGAGATGACTCAATTATTCTGAAAATACTCAAAATCAAGACACAAATTAATCAATAACCTAGTATGATTTTTACCAGAAGCAATAGCTGCGTCCTTTTCCTTTTCTTTCGACAATGAGATCAGCAAGTGTTCGCTGCCGACCCTGGTCTTTCGATAAGAATGCCTCCATTATTCTCTCGTCCTCCTCATCAATCTCTTCCTGAATTTATTATACGAGACAAAGTGAGTCAAATTTGACTATGGTAAAAAAGGGGCCTGTTAAAGGATTACAGAGAACTTAAAAGAAACTTCAAAAACAGGATTTCAGAGAAGAGGTTTGAAATCACACTTCAAACTCAGGCACAACTTAATTCCTAAGGAATTTGAGTATCATCTTCATTTCGTTATAAAAGTAAGGACTGTATAGATGAAGAAACATTCTGCACATATTCTGACTCCTCAATTTAAAACAAAGAAGTCACCTTTTGCACTAAATGAAAACAATAACAAGTAAGGAGAAGGAGGTAGCATAAGAAATAAATTCTCTCAGCTCAAAATTTAACTACCATGTTCCACACAACATGGTATGAGCCCCAAAGCTTCCAAGTTGCATTTCAATCGTACAGAGAAGCAGCAGCTAATTAGTGCAAATTAACTCACATTGTTTCCATCAAATTGACTCAGGGTCTCAGAGAACCCAGCAAATTCATCAATATCATCATCATCATCCTCGATTTTCGGCGGTTCCTCAACTTGAAAGAACGCGCTCTTGGCGTCTCCTCGGGCAGCTTCAGCTTCCTCCTCAATCTCCTTCTGCTGAAGCCTAGCCTCCTTCATAATTTTGGAGCTAATACTGGAAGAAATAAGCTTATCTCCCTTTTGGTGATGTTTGGCAGCTTTGGAACGAGTCCTCGATTTGACGGACTCATTGCCGTCGGGATCAAAGGGTTCCGGGTTCACCTGTCTCTCCTTCCTCTTCGCCATTGATGGAAACGGTGAAGCAGCCCTCCACTATCCAAAACCCTCGCTCTTGAATACAGAGCAGGCAGCACAGCGCCTTTCAACCACAGCCGCCTTTCTTTTCGTCGCGCCAAGTTTGAGGCCGAAAGAAGTAGGTTGAGGAAGGGTTAACTTCCAAATCGTAGGCCCAAAGATAGATTTTTATTTTGTTCAAAAATATAGATATTTACAATAAAGATTACTAGTATGCATGTTCATTTAATTTTAACTTTCTTAAGAAAATATTTTTCGATGACTGCTTTTTCCCTTCACATGGTATGTATAATTAAAAGAAAATTTTATTAAATTACACTAGCTTTTCTTTGTTTAAAAATTTACATTATTTATTTGTACAAATGATATTCAGTACTCCTAAACAAAATAAAATTACACAATAAGGCTTGAAAAATTACTATATTTAAAATGACTGTCTTTAAAGGGATTATTTAGTATTCTGTTTGATTTATTAAATACCTAGAATCCACTAATTCAAATTTAAGTTTAATTATTCTTTTGTTGTCCCCTCTACATTTATGTGTTTGGGCATGATAAAACAATAGATCAAAATATTATATGGTATTTTTTACCAGGAGAAAAATATTATTTAACAATTAACATGTTGTTAAATGATATGATCAAGCTGTCATCAAAAACGATATTGTAAAGGTTCTTCATACACGCAAACACACATTATATTCTAACAATATTGAAGACATTTTAATCACTATACATTTTTCAAAATCCTTTTTTTGAGACTTGGATTGTATTAAAGGGTTTTTGTCTCTCCAAACAAGTGTGTTTTTCAAGATTTAAAATTTGTGATTTCTTTTTACTGAGATGAGACCGCTACCACATTAACCAAAACTTGTTAGTAAAGTGGTCTCATTACTTGTTAAAAAGACCAGAAGAAGTATTTAGACACAACATGTTATGTTAAGAAACATGTTCTTGTATAACGGGGAAGGTATTAAATTAGGTCCATTTTGACTTTTCGGGTATTTGGCAAGTATGAAAAGTACTTTTTAAAAGTATTTTTTCATAAATCGAAATGAACTTCTTTACATATTTATTTTGTATATTGTAAAATCACTTTTAATATTTTGGTTTTGATTCTATTTAAGCTTTTTTTTTTAAATTTTCTTTTGGCCTTAAGAAGAGAGTAAAGAAGCCAATAGCTCCTATCCTCCCAGAGCCCTTCGTCTTGAATTCTTGGAATCTTTAACTCCCTACTCCAAGGTTTGGAGCATCCGTTGTAACAGAGATCGATCTCCCTACTGATGATAGTGGTGAGGCGAATGATTCGTAAGATTCGAAATGGCAGTATTGATTATGAAGGACAACATTATTATGATGGTTCCACAGCGGCCACTAGCTAGGCACTTCATGAGAAGAATATACACTGAAAGTAGCAGCAGCAACAGTATAGCCATAAAAAAAGTATCATCATAATCTTTACAGGAAATTAAACATGTAGTTTTCAAAATATATAGCACTCTTTCAGATCCTTGACCAGAGCCCTTCGTCTTGAATTCTTGGAATCTTTAACCCCCTACTCCAAGGTTTGGAGCATCCGTTGTAACAGAGGTCGATCCTCCCACTGATGATAGTGGTGAGGCGAATGATTCGTAAGATTCGAAATGGCAGTATTGATTATGAAGGACAACATTATTATGATGGTTCAACAGTGGCCACTAGCTAGGCACTTCATGAGAAGAATATACACTGAAAGTAGCAGCAGCAACAGTATAGCCATAAAAAAAGTATCATCATAATCTTTACAGGAAATTTAACATGTAGTTTTCAAAATATATAGCACTCTTTCAGATCCTTGACGATAACAATAATAAAAGAGTTCTCAGAGGAAAAAAAGAAGAAGAAGGAAAGAACAAGTGCTTCTGCTTCTCCACCACCATCATCATCACCGTCATCTTTCTCCAGTCATGTCTCTGAAGCAGCACTGGTTGATGATGATCACTTATAGCAGAAGTGAGGATGAAGGTGCTCATAATCTGGGGAGGGCAGGAGGATGAAGGAGACGAGGGCGGTCCCAGTCAGTGACGATATGGTCGCGAGTGATTTCCTTGAGAGAGCGGCATCCACTCAATGCCATGGTTAGCTCAAACTCATCACGCAGCATCTGCAACGCTTTCCTAATTCCAGCTTCTCCCTCTGCTGCCAGTGAGTACACCACCGGACGTCCAATCTGATCCCCATACACAGTATTATTAAACACACTACATTTTTTTTTTTTTTAAAATTAGAGGAATAGACGCTAAGAATACAAGATCACAAGTGAATCAAACTCATGACCTCTCATTTACTAGGGAGTATTCATTCCAACAGGCTACAAGGCCACTGGCATTAAATACATTACTTAAAAACGACTCTGATAGAGACTTAGCAATGTGAGATTAGGGTGGTTCATGGATAGTCAAGAGATGTTCATGACCAAGCTCTAATGCTAATCAGGTACAATCTTGTTTTAAATCTTATTTTCTTGTTTTAAATCTTATTTACTTCAAAACTTACCCTATGTTTTTGTGTATAGTTTATATGAGAGGCTAAGTTAAGGTGCACTCACAAATATGCCGGAGGCTCCTAGGGCCAAGGCCTTGAAAACATCAGTTCCACGACGAACACCACCATCCAAGAATACTGGAACACGACCTTGAGCAGCTTTCACAACCTAATTTTTTTTTCCCACGTCAAAAAAGACCATTCAAATGTGTTCACATAAATTTCAAGTTATAACCAGACATTATCTTCAAGGTTTAGAGTATATACCTCTTCTAAGGCCATTATAGTGGAAGGCACATAGTCCAGCTGTCGAGCTCCATGATTGGACACAATAATTCCCGCTGCTCCAGCCTGAACTGCAAGCCTTGCTGCATAATTAATACAGACAAATTCATCAGATCTTCATTGGGGAAAAAAAAAAAAAACCGGGGAAGCTAAAAGTCAGACTTCAAGCAGCTTCTGGTTTTCTTACCGTCCTCAGCAGTCAGAACACCCTTCACCAGAATTGGAAGCTTAGTGATTGTTTGAAGCCACTTCACATCCTGCAAAATTCACAATGATCATTTAGATGGTGAAGGTACATTGATCTTATCTTTTCTGACTAAATTTGATGAATTGGTACAAGAAAATGGAGGGCAAGTGAAATAAGATGTGTGATCTGATTCTCACTTACCTTCCAGCTCAGAGTGCGATCAATTTGGCCAGCAACATAACTAGCAAGTCCAGAGTCGTCGGCCTGAAAGCGACCCATACGATAGTTAAAGAAAAAGACATTAAGAACATCAAACTAGTGAAGTTATTTGGTCTTTTTTGTTGCTCACCATGTCCATCTTTCCAAGGTCCAAACCTTCGAAATTCTTCAATGTCAAGAATGGTGGCAAGGTGAATCTGAAAGATATCGTTTATGGATGTTTTTTTCAGCTCCAAAGTTTGAACTTGAAGAACTGACACTCTTTTAAGAAACAATCTAAGGTTGAAAAGTTGCACCTGTTCTTAATGTCAGCTTCTCTGCGACCAAGCCTTGGGGTGTCAACAGTGAGAGCAATAGCTTTGAACCCAGCCCTTTCAGCTCTTCTCACAAGCTGAGCAACAACGTTCCTGTCCTTGTACACCTAAAAACCACACGACAAGAAAGAGAACATATAGTGAAAAACAGGGAAAATCCATGAATGGCCCATTAAAAGGAACTGAAAAAAGAAAGCATTTCAAGCTTACATATAGCTGGAAAAAGCGGATGCCAGGTCCTGTCGAGGCCACCTCTTCAACACTTGAAGTAGCCCATGAGGACAAAGTCTGAAAGAAAGAAAGAACCAAGACATTGCCCATAAATAGAACATATACTGCATAATGTTTGAACATAACTGAGTGATCAAGAATGAGATTGAACAGTATGAGATTAAGATTTCTGCCTATATCGAAAAAGAAGGCCTTTGTTTTATAGTGCTTGTAAACTCCTTTGGACATATATAATTATTACTTCATAAGAGTCTATGGAGATCATTCAAGGGACATAGTACCGAGCCTGCGATTAAAATGAACATGGATATGAAAGAGAAGTACCATGATTGTTCCAGCAGCTGATGCAGCTCTTGCAGTTGCATATTCTCCTGAAAAAATGAATGAAGTGTTATCCGACAGAGAATCTTAGTAGTTAGTTTCAATGGGTAAAGGAGCTTCTTTGCAAACTATACCGCATAACAAGGCCAGATGATTTAGCTTTCATAATGTACTGTCAAAAAGTTTCCAATTTCCATTCATTTATCAGAATTGTATGGAAAGAAATCTACTCTGTATTACTCCTTACATATGACTCCTTTTAAAACTTTCTCAGAAGAAATAAATGCGGCCACATGATAGAGCCAAGAAATAAGAAGTTTGTGACTGCCGGAATCTAAGAAGCAAATTTCAAAACAACTCAGGTTGACGTTTTTTTCCCACCAGTTTCTCTTGTATATGCCACTTCAAGGCTATGCAAAAAAGGACGGGCTGTTTAAGGAGAGAACTAAAGCAGTGAGTCCCATGATATAGAAAGGTACTCCCTCCGGTAATTAACTAACCCTTTTAACTTTCACAAACTAGTTAATTCTTGCTAATACAAAGGACCGGGACTGACAATTCAGCAACAGTATCAAACATCAGATGAAACATTGCAAACACAAACCAATGATGTCGATTATATCATGTCAACAAAATAAACGAAGGTAAATAACAATAATTAGATACCCTCAGGATGAGCCATTTTCTGCATGGCTGTTGGAGCAATCATGATTGGCATGGAAATTTTGAAGCCCAGGACAGTTGTGGACATGTCTATCTTGCTCACATCGATGAGAATACGTGGCCGGAACCTTTTTTTTTTTTTTGGACATAGAAGCAAATTTAGGGACATCATTATTTTGTATATTCTAAATAGAAACAAAGGTATACAAAATCTCAAAGTACAAAAACAATGAAGCCAAAAATCTCACAGGATCCTGGAAAAGGCATTTCTGTTTTCTTGCAGAGTCCACTGGTCCTCGGCACCAGATGCGTAGTAATCAAACACCATCTTTGGCAATTTCTGCTTTGCAATTGCCTCATACTCCATGACATTAGTTATCTCCATTTTTAGAGCCGGCTGTTAATTCTCCCCCTCAGTAATCCTGCAGGTTATTAACGTACAAACAGAGCATGAAATCTTCAGATATGAGTTTTTCTCCATCACAAATCCTCAGCTATGAGAAGTGCAGATATGCCAGGAACCTACCAGGTAATAAAGGAAAGAAAAAGAAAATACTAAGCCAATCTAGAGTTTCAGAAAAATTTTCCCACACCAGACTCAGCTTGTCCTACTTTGCTCAATCTTAACAAACACTTCGGATGAATCAGTATTAAGTTTAAGTACAAATTAAACATCTAAGGTCAATGACAACAGCAAAAGAAGAGAAATATATTGAGAAAACAAAGTGTCCAGTTCTTCTCTACAACTTCAAAGCAGTATTATTCCCATGAGCAGGTCTCAGTATCAAGATTTCCCCAATTTGTCTGGACAAGTATATTGAGAAACTCATACACAGAGAAGAAGAGAAGAAAGATGCTATCCATGCTCAAAGCTAGCCCAACAAATAGAAACTGAGACTGAAAACCATCCATATACACAACACGACCACTACCGTTTGAATATTCTTCGTCTCTGCTATGGTCTGTCTAAAGAAAAAAACAAGAGAAGAACGTAACCAAGAGAACACATGAAGAAAGGAAGATTAAGCATTGAGAACCGCATAACGAGGAGGAAAAGGCAGACCTTGAACCACAAAACTGTTCTAGAGTGAGTGCATGCAGGGGATGCAGTGGAGATGAGGCCTCCAGCTGAGGAATAGAAAGAGAAACGAAGTGAAAAATTGTAAGAGCTTATATATACAAGTAGGATAGAGACAAGATAAAGTGGGGCTTACAGTTCAAATAATGGGAATAGAAAAAAAGAGAGCGAATTACCGTCTGAAGTGGATGAGCATTTGGAGGTGGGAATTTGTTTGGGCTAAAATCCTCATCTTGGAATTGAAGGGTCTCTCAGCCACAAACACCTTGTGTGTTTCTCAGCTCTCTTCCTTCGTTATCACTCTAATCTCTAAAATACCAAGCAAATACCAAAATTTGAAAAGAAAATATATGTATCTGTGTGTGTAGAGAGTAGAGACAGAGACGAGAGTCACGGAGACTGCTTCTTTCTTCTTCTCCTCTCTCTTTCACGTATGGATTCTCTATTTTTCTGAACAATATTTTAAATTATCATTCCTATGGTGGAGGATGCACGTAGGTTGGATAACGAATGACATTCTACTGTGCTTATGATTGATTGATAATTGTCATACGTACCAAAAAAAATCCACAGTGATCTTAACTTCCAACCAAAAAAGGCAATAACGTCTATATTTTTTATGATAAATATGACTAATGAGTAATGACTATACAAATTTTCATTGTTTAAAAAAAAAAAAGACTCCACATTTTCTTGTGTATAATCAACGAATTTCGTTAAAAATAACAGAACCACTAAAAATCTTTTGTTTATTGTATATGCACTACAAACGTATGATTTTAAGCCTTTTAATTTGTAAAGAAAATTAGAGTGGCAGAAAAGAGAGGCTTAAATTTTCAAAAAAAAAAAAGGGTGTTTGGATATAGTTTTAAAAATAATTTTAGGATATACAAAATAAATATGTGAAAGGAGTTTTGATGAAAACATAAAAAGTATTTTTTTTTATTATGCAAGCATCCCTGAGGATAGTCTCATGAAAGCATATAATCACACCCTCGCATCCTTTTTCGCAGTTAATATATCAGATTTAGGCCAAAAAAAAAAAAAAGAATTAATCTCCTTAAGTGATTTGTACGTGAGATCAATTTTATCTAGTATAATATAAAAGTAACTTTTTTTAGAAGGTTTCCAAATACTTGGGATCCAATCATATACTACTTCCGATTTAAATTATAAGACCTCATTTGTAGACTAAAACAAATTTTATAATTCAGACCATGCAGTATTACTTTAGAATTTATAATTATAATTTGCATGCTTTACTATTATACAGCATTAATTGGCGCTGGCCTATTGGAATGACTGCTCGTGCATGGAGTCTTAATGTGAATCTCCCTAGTACGTACTCTCATATAGCTATATACGAGGAAAAAAAAGAATATACATGATTTTTATTACAAAAATAAAATGAATAATAACGTAAAATTAATTCATAATATAGCGTGTCATATGCACTAGCTAGCTCAAACGAATTAAGTTTTTTTAAACATACATTTCTATATTTTAAAATAAAGATACAACTAAATGTACTTGCTTCCATATAAAAATATAAAGTGGATGACACTATTCATTACGTATAGATTTATACATGTATATATTTTTTTAATTTTTTAAATAAATTTAATGACTTTACCTAGTAGTATATCCTAATTGGACTTCTCTTCTAAAGCCCCACAAAGCATTTATGAACCTAACTTTATGAGGTCTGTACCGCGCTAAGTGAGCTGTCTTGCTCTCATAATACCAATTCTAAGCGATAAGATTCAGCTGACGTAACACAGTTTTTGGTTTTGATTGGTTGAGCCTTGGAAGGGTTGGTTTATCTCCAACTTTAGCTGCATTTTATGTACGGTTTCTATACTTTGCTCACTTGATCATATCCACTGACAAAATTTTAGATAGGGGCCGCAGAGGTAACGTTAGTGCGTGGCATAGAGGAACTTTTTCCGTTTGTTGGGGACTCGATTCTGTGTGACAGGCGAATGTAACTGTTCATGCAAAGCTGAGTACCCACCATCTGTTTGTGGAATTGCCTCAGAGAAACATGGAGTTGAAAAACCAAGGGAGAAAGGACACACTTTAACTTGTCATTCGTAGTTATAAACTTATATGGCCAACACAACCAATAGCATTGTGCTTTATCATGGATCAATGTTGGCCCATGCACATATACATTGTCTTCTGAGACCTGCAGGATTAGTCCCGCGATTTCATTCCTCATCTGCAGCTTTGGCTGTTACGAATAGGGCATCGCACGTCTGCTTAGGTAAGGGGGGCCGCAGGTGGAAAAGGCAGTTTGTTAGGACCTGCTCGATCAGCGAGTTTGTTATTGCTAATGACGAAAAATATGGCAATAAGCAGGTCGTCAGTCTCAGTCCCCGCCTTTATGACTATATCTTGAAGAACGTTCGAGAACCAGAGGTGGTGAACTTTCCCATTGGCCCCAAGAACCATTCATCGAATAACCCCCCTCCCTCACCCCCTGGGGGGGGGGCTTTCATATTGGAATTTCGCATTTTTTTTGATGTTGTAATCGGTGGCATTTCAGATTTTGAGACAACTGCGTGAGGAGACGGCCTCTATGCGTGGAAGCCAGATGCAGGTACACCTCATCACTTCATCAACTTTGCACGTTATGGTTCATGAATTTCAATGATCAATTCATCTTACAGGCTGGAAATGTTAAGTGAGAGTTTACGAATAGTTTTGTTATAATCTTTGCCGATGAACTCGAGCATAACATATTATCATATTATCAGTTTAATATTGATTTGGGCTGCCTCAGTGGCATTGTATGTTACTCTTTTGGGTCTATACATGATAGTTTCTGCCGATTAGTTTAAATGTTAATGGTTGTTTGTATTTCAGCTATAATAGGAGGATTGAACTTGAACCACTGTACTTAATCCATAACATCATTTTTTTAGTAATCAATGTTTTGATCTCTTTAACCACACGAACGCATGACACTTGCAATATAATTATTTTGAATCAAGCTATAACCGGTAGTTTTCAGTAAAAGGCATGGAATCGCTTGAGTATGAGCATGCGCCCTTTTTTGATTTTCATGCATATATTATTAGTGGAGCTATGTGTTTTCAGTGTTAAGCATGTGATTGTGAATTCTTACAGAAAAATAAAGAGGAGTTGAATAGAAAGCATGCAGATAACTATTTCTGTCCATCATATTTGTATGTCTCCAATACAACTTCCTTACCATGAAGTAAATTTTGATGATGTGATGTCTTTTTAATAGGTGTCTCCAGATCAGGCACAACTGCTTGCAATGCTTGTGCAAATTCTTGGAGCAGAACGTTGTGTTGAAGTTGGTGTTTATACTGTATGTCCTTCATTTATCCACAGCTTTCACTGGGTTTGTTAAGATTACACAGTGCATGTTGCCTTATTTTTATTTCAGGCTGTACATCGTTTAGAACTGGTTCTTTAAGAAGTTTTGAGATCCAGGATGATTTAGTTATGAATTTTAAATGAATGACCCTTTTTTAAGGACACTGCTTTTCGCTTGATGGGTATTTTTTTTTGCTGTGGTTTTTTTCTGCTCTGTATGGATAGTCTTTAAGCAGCTCATTCTATTGTTACTTTTGCCCAGGGATACTCATCTTTGGCAATAGCCTTAGTCCTGCCAGAATCTGGTCGTTTAGTTGCCTGTGAAAGAGATGCCAAATCTCTTGAGGTTGCCGAGAAATATTACCAGCTAGCTGGTGTTTCGCATAAGGTAAAACGTACTTCATCTGGGTTTTATTTAAAAAAGTTGCTGAATTACTATTTCTTCACTTTGAATATGTAAACTCCATTTGTTTAGTTATGGTTCTTCTTCTTCTTCTTCTTCTTTTTTTTTTTTTTTTTTTTTTTACCTCCTGAAATTTCAAGTAGAATCCTCACGGATTTTATTTTCATTAGGTGGATGTAAAATTTGGACTCGCCGCAGATGCCCTGCAATCTCTAATTTTAGATGGCGAAGCTGGCAGGTATAAGGATCCTCAGAATCATTATAATTTGTCCTTTTCATGCTGCCTGGTATGCAATAAAGGTTTCTTATGCACGAGCTGTTTTCTCAGTAGAGAGCTTATGTGGCCTACTGATCATAACTGTGTAAAGTGTAATTTGAACACTGTCAGAAAACAATAAATAAATTGGAATTTAAGAAATACTGCTTCTTTGTGCAGCTATGATTTTGCTTTTATTGATGCTGATAAAAGGATGACTCAGAAATATTTTGAACTGCTGCTGCAGCTGGTAACATTATAGCGACTAAATTGTAAAATTAATCTTAAGTTTTCTACGTGGTTTCCTCTGAATTCGCCCCTAGTAATTTGTCGGTGATTTCTTATTGCAGGTAAGAGTTGGAGGTCTCATAGTAATTGACAATGTTCTGTGGCATGGAAAAGTTGCCGACCCACTGGTAAATATATGATTTAGTATTTACCTTTATTTGGAGGAGAATGAAAGTTGACCCGTAACATTCTATTGTGCAGGTAAATGACCCTAAAACTGTAAGCATTAGAAACTTTAATCAACAATTGGTCGAGGACAAGCGTGTAAGCATCAGTATGGTAGGTTTACTGACTTTCCATTTCTCACACAATTTTTGAGAGACCCTGAAAAGGGGATTTATGATTTTATATCATCTTCTGATCTTAGGTGCCAATCGGAGATGGAATAACAATCTGCCGGAAAAGATGACCTAAAACCATGCATGAGATGATTTGGCATGCCTTGTTCATCCAGCTTTATAGTCTCTTAATGATGGGTTGGATATATGTTAGACGTAAAAATCAAGAGCGGGTGTTTTGAATAGCTTGTATTTATGACTCTTGAGCTTGAGAAGATATCAGATAAGCAATTAAATATTTTCCAAACGCTTTTTTTTTTTGTGTGTGTGTCAATATTGGAGGAGTTATTAAACTGAAACACCTGCCTTTGGCTAGCCAAGCATCAATGAAGATGTGAAGAGCTAACAGAAACAGAAAGAAAACTTCACGACGCCTTACCACCAGAATATAAGATGTAAGAGGAAAAGGTAAGAAAATTTAATTAACAACCTTTAACTCTGCTTCTCCATCATTTCTTGGACTTACTAAACTTGTTATCTTTGAATTGAAACAAGATTTGAAGTTCTCAAGAGTATTCTTTACAACTTAAAATATAGCACGCAGTTATTTATGTGTACACTTCTAGAGCTAAATGCTCATCCTAACTGGTAGGGTTACAAATAACTTACAATCATAAGCATTTTAACGAAAGGGTGAATTCTGTTTCTGTCCCCTTCTAAGGAACAGAAAAATGTTTATGACATCTGTTGCTAGCATAACTAATCAATATTCAATCACTTATGGCATCCTTGCAGGCCAAGATATTTTCAAAGTATTGGTACAAGTGTACTTTCAAAGGGGAGTTGGAAACTAATAATCCTTCGATTAATTAATTATTTAGAATATTTTATGTGTGATGCTATGAAAGTTTTACAATTTCTTTTCTTTCTTTTTCTTTGGGGAAACAATCACTAACTGTATGAGATTATAAATCAAATTTAAACTCGTTTTTTTTTTTTTAATCTTTTCATGTCACCAAGTTATAAAGTCATTAACAATGTACAAGATTTTCAGCTAGTTACAAACATGACTTTTTTAATTAAGATATATACATGATAAAGAAGGACAACACTCAAGTTTACCTCCTTATATCATTAGGTTCATTTCTCCCCTAGCACGCGGATTTTTCCCAAAAAAAAAAAATCTTTAATTATTTAGTTCAAGCAAGCCATTAGATGTTATTCTTATAGCATGGTATGATATGGGTACATCTTATTTTCAGGATCATATGCCATGAATTGCATATTATTTATTATGCTTTTAAAAATAATACTTTGAATCTAATATATACACCTTTTGGATGAATCAGACATATTGGATTCATTGGTAATTAACTTTCGCATATATGGAATACTACCCCCTTCATAATATAATATAAGAGTAGTTTGATTTTTAATTTAATACTAAATATATGTTAATGTAAATAAAATATTATCAATATATTAATATCAATATTTATTTATAAAACTTATCAATCTCACTAAAAAGGTTCAATTCATCGTAACTAGTATTAACAAAGTTTTCAGTTTTGTAAGAATGAATCTGAAAAAAAAATTGGCAAAAAAATAACGAAAGAAAAAATCTGACGAAAAAGGAAACCAATATTAAAGGTCAACAATTGCCAACCTTCCTTAGTGCTTCCATGTTCCATCATATTTACCGTTCTTCGGCGAAGATTGAAGATGCAGCAGATTAGATTTGACAAGAGCGAACCAGGAGAGCGTTAGAGCCACTGAAGAACAAACAAATTGCCAGACATTTCACTTTCGTCAGTGCAACAATGGCGGATCAGAGGAAGGATGGTTTTCTAACCTATAGCTATCTTCTCCTCTACATTGCTCTCTCCAGCGGCCAAATCTTCTTTAATAAGGTTCCCTTCAACACATTTCTTTTACTCGATTAATTTGTATCTTTCTTGCAAAAAGAAGTTGCATTCTTTGGCTCCTTCAACCGAAAATTTTGCGAGATCTCGTTTTCTCTGTATTTTAGTTCATCTATTCTCATGAAAAATCTGTGTACTGTGTTTGTTCCTCAATTGTTAGTTTTTCAGTCACCCAATTGGCGGTTTAGTTGAAAATTCTTCAAGTAATTGAATAAGACAATAAAGGGTTAGCCTCTCGGCCATTAGGGAAGTAATTGCTTAGTTATGTTGATTATTGTCCTTTCCTGAGATGGAATGAATGAAACCGAATGGAGGCATATATTTACGAAGTTTGAAAAGTCATATTTCAGAATTAATTCTGGTCTATCTCGTTGTCATCTTTAGAATCTGGCGTTAATATAACCTTGCGTCAGCTTGTTCTGGTACTGGTCTTATTGCTTCAATTTCTTTTGGAGTTCACCCTGAAGGCATTTGGCTTCATTCTTGTTCTAATTTTGTCCTTAACTTTTCTTTCTTCAACTTGTAGTTGTTTATCATTTGTCTTTAACATTGATGCTTGATTCGATGGAATATCTCAATGATTAAAACCATAAAACCTGTGTTATGTTGCTAATACGTTTTCTTTTCTAATTGTGGTTTGCAGTGGGTTTTGTCCTCAAAGGAAATTAATTTTCCTTACCCTCTGGCGTTGACTCTACTTCATATGGTCTTCTCCTCTGTTCTATGTTTTGTATTAACGAAAATTCTAAAGGTTTGTGATTACGCTTAGTGTAATTTTCGACCATTTACTTTCATGCAATTCAGGCCGTTAATGTATATATTTTTTACAGGTTATGAAGGTTGAGGAGGGAATGACTACTGAAATGTGAGTAAAGACATAAATTTTGTCTGCATCATATCTGATTTATGGTGTATTTATTCTAATGTATATCGTTTTCTCTTATCTGATGATGACTGAATATATCATGAAGCTTCTCCTCAAATTTTATTAGTGAATTCATAAAACAGTTACTGAATTAGAAAGAATATTATCTATATTTTTAAATATAAAATGGCAGATGAAAGTTTTGGACAGCGATGATTAGTTATCTTTTTAAAAAAGGAAATTTAGGAGAAGTAAACAATTTAGCATGGGAATACCAAAATTTACAATTGTAAAGATTATTTTTTCTGGAGTTACCATGAAACAATACCGTTGAGCCTAAAGTGAATAGTGACAAACAACAATACCATTTAACTTGAATAGTCACACTTTCATGTGTGTTTGAATGGTTATATCTGAATGTGGATTCCAGCCTTTGGTTTGATGAGTGCTCTACTAGCAAACTTCTATACTTTGGAAGTTCTGCTGCCACCGTTTGATTGGACAACTGAGAATACCTGCTACTTATCAATTCTGTGTTCAGCCATTTGTTATTTATCTTTCTTTAGTACTATGAATTTCCTTGTTTAGGTACCGTCATCTTTTTTCAAATCTTGTTTTTGTTTGCCAGAATTTTCTGGCCAAGTGGCTTATGATTATATATATGAATCAAGATTGTTGATAAAGAGCCTATTAAGCTAACGTGGAAGTTTGTTACTTATTGATGTTGCCAGCAGACAGTAATTAGATCTTAATTATTTCAGATATGTTACGTCAGTTGTGCCAATTGGGGCTATGTTTGCAATGACTCTTTGGCTGGGGAATACTGCCTATCTGTATATCTCTGTATCATTTGCACAAATGTTGAAGGCAATCAGTAAGTTGGTGATGATTCCGTTGCTTATCCGCAGCCGCTACATATTTTGAGGCAATTAAGATATTTCTCTGTGGCAATTATTATTGGTAGTTTCTGTAGAGTACAAAGTTGTTGATTATTGCATCTGATCATCATTCCTTCAGCATGGAAACTAACTGTATACTCACGGTTTCTAACTGTCATGACAGTGCCTGTAGCTGTTTTTATCCTTGGAGTAGCTGCAGGACTTGAGGTAATGAGCTGCAGAATGCTTGTAATCATGTCGGTGATTAGTTTTGGTGTTTTAGTGGCTTCTTATGGCGAGATACATATAAACTGGATTGGAGTAATTTACCAAATGGGTGGTGTTGTTGGTGAAGCTCTAAGACTTATCTTCATGGAAATTTTCGTGAAGAGGAAGGGCCTGAAGTTGAATCCTATCTCTGTTATGTATTACGTTAGTCCCTGCAGGTACATGTTTCATTTAAAATTGTATTTATTAAATACTTATCTTTTTGCAATTGAATTTACAGAAAATGAATGCCTGTGACAATAATTTTCGATTGTTCTGCAGTGCACTTTGCCTATTCATTCCATGGATTTTCTTAGAGAAAACGAAGATGGAAGAACATGGACCATGGAACTTCCCACCTACTGTGCTAATCCTCAATTGTCTTTGTACTTTTGCTCTTAACTTATCAGTTTTCCTTGTGATTACACATACAAGTGCTTTGACCATTCGTGTCGCCGGAGTTGTCAAGGACTGGGTGGTGGTCTTATTGTCTGCTGTTCTGTTTGCCGATACAAAATTGACTGTCATAAATTTGTTTGGCTATGCAATCGGTAAGCATCTGATACAAACACATATTAAGGGATGTCCTCCACTTGAAAGTAAAATAATACAAATATATATTAAACTATATCAAGGCTGGGAGATGAAGCACTTTCAAACCTTTATAAATAAAAGACAAAAGAAACTTGTGATCATTGCTGAAATCTTTTCTCTGCAGCCATTGCAGGAGTAGCAGCATATAATAATCACAAGTTAAAAAAGGAAGCTACTCGAGATACTTCAAATGATACCGAACTTCCTGAGTCGTCCTATGGGCAAAATTCTCGGATTTCAAACAGGTAGATATGTAGTTACCCTCAAGGTTTGTAGTATGTACTGCAGTTGAAAATATCCCCTTTCTGCCTACAATTGTCCTCCCTAGTCCCTGTTTGGTTTGTCGAAGGGGATGAGATTCTCATTCTCACTTTTTGCACAGTGTCCATACTTCTCACAGATAGCGCACAGCAGATGAAGGCAGTTCTCTCCTTTCGTCACCAAGCGGCATTGTATTTTCATATATTGACTTTTGTCTAAGCAAACATTGACTCGGAATTCTGTCTTTTAATCTGTTGATACAAATTCCAGATGGGGAAAAGTAGTATGCAGTTCAAATGTAATCATGAGAAGAAAAAAAAGAGGTGTTTAGCGATGGCATTTCACTCTTCAGGAGATTGAAAATGACTGACCAGGAGCTGGTAAACGAGGGCAATTTTTTTTTTTTTTGGGTTTTTTTGGGGCAGAGCTGCAGATAAATACATGTATTGTCTTGTACAACCTGGTTTCTTCAAAACATTTTTGTCTGTGGATTCAGATTATTTCTAGTTCATTCTACAGGTTCTTATATGTGGTTTATGTGAATTTGAATGTACTGAGCAGGTAAGCAGTATGAATTCAGTGTTGATAATGTGAAAGCCTTGTCCAAGCAACAAAAACTGCATTAGATGATAAATCATGCGTAAAAGCCACGCATGTATGCATTCATAATTTTGATTTTAACCCCCCCCCCCGCCAAAAAAAAAAAACGATTATAACTGTCTTGCTAGTTCTTACCGCCACCCCACTTCCGGATTTTTTTTTTTTAAAAAGAGAAACAGTAAAAGTAACAGAAACCACTCTGTTGATCTGTTCCTTTTCGACTGTAACACGGGCCTGCGTTATAAAGCACAGATTTGGGAGTGAAGCTCATTTTTCATTATTTCTGATATTGTATTGTAATGTAATTTGCCATAGGCTTTTTGATAATATTCTTATCTTTAAGTAATCATTGCTTTTCAATTGAAATTGAAAATACGTCATGTTTATAATTTTGCATTAAAAATTAAAAACCTAAGTTTTATCTTGTTATTTCTCCTGCTTTCGAGACCTATGAAAGTTAAAAGTAAATTTCACGTGCTGGTAATAATATTACTCACTAATATCCTTGAACAATAATACTACCTCCGGTCCTAATTATAAGACCTAGTTGACTAATTTGAGGAGATTAAGGAAAAAAGTTAAGTTAGTTATTTGTAATAAATAAGTGTTGTCTTTCCTAAAATATCCTTACTAATTAACTATATTGGCTAGGACTACAATTATTAGAAGGACTATCTTGGGAAAAATATATAAATATGAGAGACAAAGTGGATTGAGGTCTTATAATTAAGGTCAAAATAAAAGTCAAACAAGGTCTTATACTAAGGACAGGAGGTAGTATTACTTACTAATTATGAAGTTAGATAATTAAATCTCATATTTTTAAAGGAAAAAATTATGCATGGCATACTTTTCTTAATATAATACGCATTAAATAAACGCGCAGAGTGGAACATTCGCCTCTTAAAGGATGACCACAATCCCTAACAGATTAACGTCAGCAGATGAAAAGATGTTCGGAAAGATGTTCCCAATAAATGCCAAATATTGAGAATGGAGGAGTAGGTTTTGAAAATTTCATTCTATTTGATCCACTACTCTCACCAGTGTTCGTGGAAATTGTGTGTGTTATTATTTGTACTTTTTGTGTTTCGAAGAAGGCGCTAGAGACCGAAGAAGAGAACAAAGAAAAGGACCCGGAGAGCGATGCGATTGCGGTGGTCGTGGTGGCGTTGCTACTGCTGCTCTGGGTTTATCTCTCCCACGACGACGGCGTCCAATGCACCGGAGCACGCGGCCGAAGGTCGTCGTCGTTGATGGCCTTGCAATTGCACATGACTTGGCTGCCGAGTCTTCTCACTCAGAAGCGCAAGACCGATCACCCTGTGGGCCTCAGGAACCTCGGCAACTCTTGCTACCTCAACAGCGTCCTCCAGTGTCTCACCTACACTCCTCCTCTTGCCAATTTCTGTCTTCGAAACCAGCACTCTTCCCTCTGTGCGCATCTTTTTCCCTTTTCCACTTCCGCCCTTAATTTTCTTATACTTTGTATTTCCCGGGTTTTTGTTCACTTTGTGCCCTAATTTTTGTTCTGCTTTTGGATTCAGGCGATTCCGCTTCGGAGGAAAGGAAGCGGGACTGCCCTTTTTGTCTACTGGAGAAACGGATTGTTCGTTCCTTGAGAGTGGATCTCGCCCAAGACGCGCCGTTGAAGATCCAGAGCTGTCTCAGGATTTTTGCCGAGCACTTTCGTTGCGGTCGTCAGGAGGATGCTCACGAGTTCCTGAGGTACGTTATCGATGCCTGCCACAACACCTGCCTTCGCCTCAAGAAGGTGAAGCGCAAGGTGGGTGATACTGCTGTCAATGGTAACGGCAGCAGTACTGTGGTTAAGGAGATATTTGGAGGAGCCTTGCAGAGCCAGGTGAAGTGTCTCTCTTGTGGCCACGAGTCCAATAAGGTAGATGAGATTATGGATATCAGTCTTGATATTTTGCATAGCAATTCGCTTAAAGATGCTATGCAAAAATTCTTTCAGCCTGAGATTTTAGATGGGAATAACAAGTACAAATGTGACAAGTAAGTGTTTTTCTTTCAAAAGTTTTCCTGGCGATTCTCTTTGCTGGTCTTGTTGATAAACAAACTATTATATTTCAGTTGCAAGAAATTGGCGGCGGCTAAGAAGCAAATGTCTATACTTGAAGCCCCTAATGTCCTCGTAATACAACTTAAGGTTGGTTTTTAGTGCAGTTCTGTCTTCGATTGCGTAAGTTTATTGCATTTTTGCCTTTGAATAAGGATGTGCTATTGAATTTGGTTGTCAGAGATTTGGGGGCATATTGGGGGGGAAGATCGACAAGGCTGTTGCATTTGAAGACATTTTGGTGCTTTCTAGCTTCATGTGCAAAGCAAGCCAGGTGGGTAAAGTGTTCAGTTTATATTAACCACCGCAAGGTGCTCATTTGCAATTTGTACTATTTAGTTAATTAAGATTATGATTAGTTTTTCCTCCGCAGTCGTGAGTTTTTAGTCTTGCAGACTATAGAGCTTTCTTTCCCTGTCCAATGAAGCATCCAATTAGTTGTTAATGTTTATTTGTGCTTTTCTGTTTTTGTTAAATCATTGACACCTGACTTTAGAGATGCAATGAATAGGATAAAGACAGGTTGACTGCTGTGTTCTCTACGTGGGCACAGCTGTTGGGTATAATGCGTGGGCCATTTATGAATCAAATATACATCTTCATCCAAACCATGACTATAGGCTATTCTTCCCTAGAGGTTTTAATACTATTGCACTTACCATAAAGCCTAACTTGCTAGGTTAAGGCTACCCACCGAAGAATCTTTAGAAGCCTTTAACCGGGCTGAAGTCTGTCAGATTGATCGTTCCTATCCAATATTGCCTCAAGTAATCTTATTTTTCATTATTTTCTTTCATAATATGATTTTCAACTTGTTACTTTTCTAATTCTTTCGTGCTTATGCAGGATCCAATGCCAGAATATAGGCTCTTTGGTACTATTGTCCATTCTGGATACTCCCCGGAATCTGGCCATTATTATGCTTATATAAAGGTCTGTAAATATATTCTTCACCTTTACACACATCATGTTCTCAGCAGTCTATATAATGCATTGAATTTTAAATTCTCTCCTATGTATACCAGAAACTTACTTTTGTATTGTGTATAGGATGCCAAGGGCCAATGGTATTGCTGTGATGATTCTTCTGTCTCACTTGCGACCCTCAAAGAAGTTTTGTCAGAAAAGGTTTACATACTTTTTTTTTCTCGCACTAACCAAAGGCCAGTGCCAATTAGAAATGGTTTTGCTTCAAATGGTTCAAGGTCTCATCACATTAATGGAAGTCAGGCATCTGAATGTCCAAAATCTGATGCATCACCAAAAGTAGTGCATGCGAAATCAAATTCTCAACAATCTTCTTGGAAGGACATGTCCACCGTGCCCAAGACTGGTAAAGAGCTTTCTAGCCCACGAGTGAAGGTTGATTTTAATGGAAATTCTACTTCCAAAAGAGGCCATGAAAGTTTCAATGCGAAAATTGATGTTCCGTTGAACCAGCCTGTAGTAATTAATGGACATGCAAAAGACTCGGTTGGTTTGGAGAATGTCAAGAAAGATTCTTCATCAATCAGGAATGGTTTTGAAAAAAATAAATTAGATGTTGTTGACAACTTAAGAAGGAAGGATTCAGTCTTAACAAATAAAAACAGCAGTATTCAGTCTGTTGAAAAATATCCCAGAAAGTCAGATCTTGTGGATGACACTGAGAGAAGCAGAGCAATATCAGGTAAAGGACCTGATAACTATAAGCTAGAAGGCAATGGTCTCAACAAGCAGTCTAAATCATTGGAGAATAAGAGGAAGGAACCAGTGGCTACCAGCATTTTGCTTTCCCATGATGATCAGTCTGAAGCAAGAGTTCAGGAACTGAAAGACATGTATGATATGCCTTAACTCAGCCTTTTCTGAACTCTTTCACCTAACATGAGTAATGTTAGAATTTAATGAATATTTTGTTTTGATGTGACCTGGCTATTCTTTTTATACGGGTGCGCATTGATGATTTATCATGTTCCACTTTTGACTCTTTTTTAATGCCTGTCATGCAATCAAATATTAGTTGCTGTTTGAAATCAGTAATTCAGTTGAAGTTTAATTTGTTACTGTAACTGTTTGGGTATTTATATTAATGGGATTTTAGGAAGGTGATGTTGATGGGCACCTAAGTGGAGAGGAGAACCCATCGCAAAAGCATAATAGTTTGGTGGAAGAAATAAACCATAATAACCCCGAGTAACCCATACTACTCAATGTGGGGCTTATGCTAGGCACATGACTTTTGGTCTCTTAGTTTGCATTTTCTTTCTGAATAAGTCCTGAATTCATTTTCTGTCATTGGCGGTTCCACCATTTCTTTTTATTGATAGTTTCTCATTTTTCAGTTATCTCGTGGGTGCTAAAATATGTTATGATGTTATCTCTTACATGGTGTTAGGTTATCTTAGTTTTGTAGGATTCCTTTTCATGTCCAATTTGTTATGCCTTCGTTCTGTTTACTTAATTGCTCAGACAATTAGTACATCACACCTTTTAAAGTGTTTTTATATGCCTTATTCTGATGTCTTTTCAAAACATTACTCAGGCTTGAAAAAGAGGCAAAGTCAGTTTTAAGATCATGCGGCTGGACAGATAAGGTGTATGGCTATATGTCTTCTAGAAAGAGGTTGTGCGCACCAAAAGTAGGGAATTCATCAAGTGAGGATGAAATAAAGTAAGTCTAATCAGATTTTAGATTGCTCACTGGATCTGTGGTATACACAAACATGCTTACAAAATCTTTGTTGATTTTCCTGTAATTTTTTTACTGTCATCTTCTAATCAGTGCAGGGGGATGTGTTTAAAATTTGGCTATATGCCAAATGATGGGCTATAGAGTTGTTTGAAAATGAAGTTTTCATGCATTTTGTGAAGCAATATTTTATGAAAATATAGATGGAAAATATATATTATTCTAGAGGCTTAAGGAGAAAGTGTAGGAGGCCACCACGTGGTGCTTTCTTTGAAGTTTTTATAGACATAATGTGGCGTGGACATTTGGCTAATTTAGATATTTCATGAAGATATTCTAGTATTTAGGAGGTTTAGATGAAATGGACTGATCTTGATACGGAAATTTAAGTCAAAACTATGAAGCCTCACAGTGATGCTTCTGGTATATTGCGTTTGGATCTCGAGTTGTTTATATCAACATATCCCTGTGTGAAACGCATGTTCCCTGGCTGTTCTGGATCTTGGTACGGAAATTTAAGTCAAAACTAGGAAGCCTCAGAGTGATACTTCTGGTATATTGGGTTGGATCTCTAGGGTTGTTTATATTAAATATCCCTGTGTGCACGCATGTTCCCTGGCTGTTTTGTGATGTGACATCTAAGGATTTTTTTTTTTTGGGGGGGGGGTGATGTCTGAGGACCACATCCCTCTCTGAGTATGATTTCATGTTTGTTGGTGGTCATCATGAGTATTTTTGTGTTATAGAGAAAAAAGGAGACATCCATTTTCCTATAGGTTTTGTGAATGGTGGAGATCTAGACAATATTATGGTTTCATAATCTTTGAAAAGACTAGCATCCTAGTGTAAAAATATGTTTCCCCGTCTTTATTGACTTTTTTATTGTGTTATAGAGAAAAAAGGAGACATCCATTTTCCTAGACTTGGGTTTTGTGAATGGTGGAGATCTAGACAATGTTATGGTTTCATAATCTATGAAAAGACTGTAGCATCCTTGTGTAAAAATATGTTTCCCCGTCTTTATTGACTGTTTTATATATGCTGTGGTGGAGATATAGATAGCATTTGTTTTAATCACATAATCTATGATCTATTGCAATGCAGGAAGTTGCTAATAAGCGAGGCCAAGGGAGCTTTTATATCACAGATCCCTGAGTCATTGAAAGAGTGTCTGATTGATCGTCTCCGATTATTTAGCAAAGAAAAGACACAACTTGGAAGACCGTGATGAGAAGCATGGTGTGTGGGAGACCCGTTCTTATATTCTGTAGATCATTTCCAGCCCTCACTTAGGCACTCGCAGATTTTCATAATTGACACATTTGTGCAGCTTGTTGGCATACATATCTTGCTACCGGGCCTTGGTGTTCATAGTATGTATTATCTATTGTCCTGGTGATGTTGAGATTCTTACTGGGATGCTCAGTGGGGCATCCTTATACTCTGACTGTTCGGGCCTGTGCTGGCTGCAGCAGTAGGTTGTCATTCAAGCCTTCCTTCACCCAAAATTGACATTGTTATTCTAGATGCTCCATCAACATATTAATGTAGCAGTTCAGATATGAAGTCTTCTTGCCATGACTTCTCTTTCTTCATGGAGGCTGTGCAGCACTATTTTTTCGAGAGCATTTTGGAGATTTTATTTTGTACGATATCTGTTTAGCCATGTGTTAGCACGGAATCCTTCTCTTTTTCTTGTAGAATTGGTAAACAAATTTTCCATCCACGAAAATGAGGGTTTGCTATGTGCATAACTTGTGGATGCGTTCTATTAACAATATAACTGTACACTTTGGTAAGAATACACCATTCACTATGAAAAGGTGGCCCTGGCCTCCAATAGTTTTCTGCCTCCTTTCCCGCCAATGTAGTTTTTTCCGGCTGAGTGACATGCCTTTTGTTTCTTTTTTTGGGCTGTTGTGGCATTTGATATTTATTAGATCTAGATGGTTTCTTTAATTCCTGATTATTAGGTTTTCCAATTAAAATAATCTGTTGTAGCAGTATTCTGTATTGAAAATGTGGGTAGTATTTGATATGCCTTTGGGAATTGCCACAGCAGAGAATTGGAAGACACCAAGTGAGAATCACTTGCTGATTCAGTTCATCGACGGAGTTTGGAATTGAGAGACTCTATTGCTGCCTTCCGATTCCTACGAGCTGTCCAATGGCTGGTTCTCATGCATACTTCAACCGATATGATGGTTCTCATGCATACTTCAACCAATATGATGGTTCTCATGCAAATGCTCAAATATCTTGTTTTATGAATTATCCTGCTTGCCGCAAAAATCTTGATTTTTGAGCGATTCATTGAATTCTCTTCGGCTAGTCTTAGGCTTCAGGAATGGCTCGTGTGAGCACGTGGCATATTTACCTATCCCCTTCGAACTCGTCAGAATTATTGAAAAGAAACAGTACCAAGTTGAGCATTAAAACTATCCTGTGTACAAAAGTAAATGAATAAATACTGTGTTGAGGGAGTGAAAAAATGGCTAGTATATAAATAAAATGTGTGTTTGCGTTGGACGTGCATTTTTTTGGGTTATATTTTATATCAATTAAGCATTAATCAACTCTGAATAATTTTGTGTAACCCATTTAGTGCCTAAATCATTTAAATTATGCCAAAAGATTAATTTTTTCAGCATCAAAACTAAAATTGCTTTGTGAGAAATCCTGAGCTGACACTTTTATTAATATGAATGTTCTCAAATGGCTCGTAAAGAGCAACGAGGGAAGCATTTACCTGAACATTAAACACCACCCACGTGACTAGCTCATGTAGGAGGAAAACTCAAACCAACAAAGAACAAACAACAATAGCATAATTATTTCCCACCCATAAAGACGACCATCTTGAATGCTTGCTTGCCGATCAATCTAAACCATAGGCTTGCGAAGAAGAACAACTGAGTTGATCACATCGTTTGTGGGATGAAATATCGTAAGAACCTCAAAATTGCCCAAATCTTGCTCTTCCACAACAGGGTACAAGAAAGCCCTTGCCCCTTTTGCACTTCTCACAAGCAAGAACCCTCCCTCCTTCATATACTCACCCAAGTGTCCCAAAATCTTCACTTTTGCTTCTCTGCTCATTCCCACAAGAGCTGCTAAGAAGATACAGTCATATTGTACCAATTTCTCTTTAATTTGCATGATATCTTTTGTCTCAAACTTCATCCTCTTCTCAAGCTCTGAGTCTGTAGCAACGATCCTACAAGCTGCCTCGTTGGCTTTCTCATCGATGTCGAAGTTGTCAAATTTTGTGGATGCCAAGTGATGTGTGGCCATTATGAGGGAAGTGAGTGGCATTGGACCAGACCCCACAAAAGCTACCTTCTTGGGATGGACCAAACCATTGTCTCTGAGGATTTTGTTTTCTAGGTTTGCTAGTTTGACGTAATTCCCATAGTATGGGAAGAGAGTGAGGTTGTTCAAAGGTTTGGGAATTTGGGCAAGAAAAGATGAGAATTCTAACTCCAAAAGGCCTTCAGCTTGTCCACAAAGGTTAATGAGACTCTCCCTCATGTTCTTCACATCTTGGGGCAAAGATTGAATGTTAATGGAGGAAGGAAGGGTGCAGAGATTGACGAGGTGAGTGAAGAGACTGTTCACTTGCTTGGAAGGCCTAAGGGATTCAAGCTTTGATATGTCTGCATGAAGCTGCATGATTTGAGCAATGAGAACGTCTTCCGGGATCTGGGTTCCCAAGTTGAAGTTCTGGAAGGAAGCCATTGCTGAAATGAGCTCAAAGTTTGGAACAAGAAACTGATTAAACTCAGGACAGAAGGTTCTTGTAGTGGGTTTGTGGAAAAATCATATTACTTCAGGCATTTATAGGAGGGCTCTGGAGCTGTTTGCCGTATCATAAAAACTGAATTTTAAAGTAGCTATACAAGTTATTTTTGTTGTGAATATAAGATTTTAATATACTTTATTTTTCAAGTTTATAATTTTTTCCTAAAGTATTCTTATTGATTACACATAACAAGGGAATTTCATCAAAGAATAGTTATAATGCACCTAATTAATAACGGTATTTTAAAAAAATCAACACATTTGGTATAAATAATTAACTAATTTTCTTAATATTTTCAAATTAAGTTGTCTAGTTCTTATATAGGGAAGTACACAATGAAGCATATCAGTATTAATTTAACAATAGGAGGTCATGACCTTCAATCCCAAATGATGCACTGAAGAGGGGTGTTTCATGCCTCCCAGCTTTTAGCGGTCTAGTTTGGGAAAGGCAAATCTGTAGACCTAGTTATACAAGCAGCTCATGCAATTAGGAAAGAATAAACAATAAATTAAACTTGTACGTTGTGGGACCTGAATCATTTTGAGACACAAAAAGTATTAACTAACTAAACCAGAGACAGTGTTTACTGTTGTGGGGACAATTTTCCCACTAACATTTTGGTTGTTTAAATTTCCCTAAGCTCCGTTTTGAATATAATACTACTTCCAGTCCTTAATATAAGATCTTGTTGGATTTTTATTTTAGTTCTAAATATAAGATCCCAATCCACTTTGTCTCTCATATTTATACATTTTTTCTCAAGTTAATCCTTCTAACAATGGTAGTTCTAGCCAATATAATTGATTAGTAAGGATATTTTAGGAAAGACAACACATATTTAGTACAAATAACTAACTTAACTTCTTTCCTTAATCCCCTCAAATTAGTCAAATAGTTCTTATAATTAGGACCAGAGGTAATACGTGGTTTGAAAAGTCCTATGTTTCATTTTATAAGGTATTTTGTGGATTCATAATGTTAATTAATGTCTTTTTAAAATGTTCCTTAAATGTATAGCCTATTCCCGTTCGTTTATGGCCGTCCCGTTTGGATGGAGAGAGAAGAAAATAAAAAGAGAGAAAAAATCGGAGATAATATTATCACTCAAATTCGAAATATTTTGCATTTCCATTTTGTTTTCCATATCATCTCCTTTTTCTTTCTCATTTTTTATTTGACTCAGGGCTAGTATTGATACAAAAGTAGTAGTTTTAACAACTGAAAAAGCTCTTTTTTTTTTTTTGAATGAATGAAGAAGCTCTTTTTGCTTGAATATCATCATGAATCAGATGTGAAATTATATGAAAGATTAATGATTAAATGATTGTTTGATTACATGTATATAGAAAAAAATTCAATTATATTTTTGACAAATGAGAAAATTTATTCGGCGTTTCTAAAATTTCTGCTTCTGACTTAATTGAACATATTTCATTTCATAGATTACGTTGAAATGACTATAAACCTTTTCATGAGATATGAACCAAAATAATTGAAATTATCAAGTAATTTTTTTTAATTTATAAAGGACAATTTTTAAGATAAACACACTGGTACTCTTAACATTTTGTAAAATGTAACGCTATATAAATTGAAATATAGAACTTTTCAAAAAGATGTACGATAATAATAAACAGAGAGAGTAGAATAGGGAGGGATGAACTTCATTTTAATTGTAAATAAATGTAAGCAAGGGATTATAATAAACATGGGTTTTACTAAATGAACGAGTGAGATGCTTAAATATTTAGGAATAAAAGAGAGGATCATTGGTTTCACACATAGGAATGGTGAAGCAGAAAGTGGGGGGGAAAAAGCAAAGCATATAATTAGGCGCTGCGAGTTCACACAAACAACACAACACAACAAAACTTAAAGGCATGTTTGATTCCAAAAGTTGTTTTATAAAACAAAAAGGGAAAATATTTTTTTTTTAAGGTGGATCGGACGCCATAAAATCCCCTGAAAAGAAACACAGAGAGCCCAAAAAGGGCCCAATAACATTGCAAATATTTTTTTTTCAAAACTTATATTAAAAAAACTACTTTTCAAAATTGTCTTTAAAACATAGAAACAGAAAATAAATCAAACAGATCATAGGATTTCATCTGTGCGTGTGCGCGCGCGCGCGTGTGTGTGTTTTTTTTTTCTGCAATAAGATTCCTGGTCTACAGCTGCATGGAGCTTGCTTTCGCCATTACAGCGTTGTCTGGAAAGCACGCACCACACAGATCAATACCCATTTTATGAGAAATTCAGCTAATATTTTAATAAAATTAGTCACGTACATGCCATCATTTTTTTAAAATGTCATTTATTATAAATTTTATATCACATTTAAATGTTAATAAAAAAATTGTGTACTTTTTGAAAAATAAATATCTATAATCTGAATAAAAATTTTCAAAAAAATCACATTGATCTTTTATAAATATTCAAATGTATGCATTTCCAACAAAAATTTCAAATTATTTATGTTACTCTTCAATCTCACTCCCACGCATCTAACAAAGTAAGTTAAAATTGGAATATATAATTTGACTTTTTAATTTCTAGCTCTACGTGTTTTTTCTCTCCCCCTTTTTAGGAAATTCGCAAACACTTTTTTTTTTCCAAGAAAAAAATTATAACAGTACGTAGCAGCGTGGCAATTGGCAAACGAAAAAGTGAAGTAATGAAGTTCTCTTCTCTCAGGTTCTGGATATGCTGCTGCAAATCTTGACGCAATAATGACAATCGAACCGACGAATAAAGCAACGACTAGAAGCCCCTAGAATTCTAAACCACCTTCCCCTGCTTCTTCTTTGCATCTATATATGTAACCGTAGCTAACTTTTCTTCTAACATTCTCGGAAGTTGTGAGAGATTCTCTGTGTTTTAAGGTTGGGATTGAGGTTCAACAATGGCGGACGAAGTGATTCTTCTGGATTTCTGGCCAAGCCCATTTGGGATGAGGGTCCGAATCGCCCTGGTAGAGAAGGGAATAGAGTACGAAGGAAGAGAAGAAGACTTGAGCAACAAGAGCCCTCTGCTTCTGAAGATGAACCCTGTTCATAAGCAAATCCCAGTTCTGATTCACAACGGCAAACCCATCTCTGAATCTCTCATCGTTCTTCAATACATCGACGAGGTTTGGAATCAAAATCATAAATTGCTTCCTTCTGATCCCTACCAGCGAGCCAATGCCAGATTCTGGGCCGACTACATCGACAAGAAGGTTCGTATAACCATCATCTTCGTTTAATGTAAGAAATAAAAATAAAATCCAGATTAAACAGTTGAATTCATTTGTGGTTGTGAATTGTTGAAATTGCAGATATATTCGACTGGGAGATTGGTGTGGGCAACTACAGGGGAATTACAAGAAAGAGCGAAGAATGAACTGAGAGAGTGCTTCAAGCTGTTGGAAGCAGAGCTAGGGGACAAGACTTTCTTTGGTGGCGATACGTTTGGTTTGGTGGACGTGGCTCTGATTCCATTTTACAGCTGGTTCTTCACACTTGAAACCACCGGGAACTTCAGCATCACCGACGAGTTTCCCCATCTGGTGGGTTGGGCTAAGAGGTGCATGCAGAGGGAGAGTGTGGCCAAATCTGTGCCTGACCAGTACAAAGTTTATGACTTCCTCTTAGACCTCAAGAAGAAACTTCAACCTCAGCTTCAGCAGCAACACTGAAATCTCATGTACTTGTAAATGTTACGAGTTCGTCGGATTATTCTAGTGTTGCAACAATCCGATTATGGTCTCCATATTTCTGTGGATCCTGTTCGTGTTTCTTTCTATCTTCTGAAGCATGTCTGAGTCTCATTTTGTTCTGTAAAAATAGTAGGATCTATAGTGATGGACAATAAAAGCACTGTGATGTTTAAGTGGATATTCTTGCGTAGATGAATACTTTTGTTTTAGCATGGCGTAATTAGTGTAACTATGTTGTTGAAGTATTGAAAGAATGACAGTGGAAGATGCTGCAGAGAAAAATGGAATTTATTACATTATTTGCTCATTCTTAAACAGTACATGTGAAACGGGATTCACATCATCTGCTTCTGCTAAATGAAGGGGAAAAAACCTCAAGAAGAGTCAAACACCCATGGAACTCCGATACAGAGTAATCTCACAGATAACATGAAAATATCAATGAAAGAATGTTAGACAAATGAGAAAAACAACACAAAAGTCAAAACCTAAGTGATGTCAGTCTCCTGTCTATTATTTTATTTGAATCAATCCGACGAGTAACGAATCAGCAAAACCATGCCTCCTTTATTCTTCTCACAGCACCACAAAAACACTGGACACAGAAGAAAATCTAGAAGGTGCGGGACAAAACTGGTCCCTCACAAAATACAGAGGAAGAACCACCGCAAGTGGAGGAACAGAAACACAAGTGACTACCAAAATCCTTGTCTTCCTCAACAATGGTGTCCAGTATTTTCTTCATCCTGCGACGCGTGACAGAGATAAACCGAGGAGGAGCAACCTCCGTCACCACCACGCTCTCAGACTTGAACTTGCCCATTTTGGTAGGGAGAAGAAAGCAGAGCAATCTCTGCTTTCCCAAGGAAGCTACTATAAAAGAAAGAAAGAAAGATCGAAGAATGCAAGAAGAGAGGTATGAGAATGGTTGATTTATAGGGATGAGGATTGGTGAAATTGTGGCGCAACGTTGCTGAGTTTTCTGAAGCAAGCGGCTTTCAGTGGTCGGTCACATGTGGGGCTGAATCTAGCCATCTATAAAGAAGTGTCCTTTGCCATCAGCCAAAAAGTACAATGTCCTTGCATTGCATGCCTTTTTTGTATCACACCAGATTGAAAAGATTCAGAATTCTCAAGAGAGATCAACGAAGCTGAATATTCTTAGTTTCCTTCTTTCTCTTCAAACTACGCCTTGTGTGATACTATAGAAGATACGTGACGCCGTTCGTATCATTGTGGCATAGTGTGTTTTGGCGGCGAGAAAGTCTTAATCTGTGCATTGAACCGTGTGAAGGAAAAATGAAATTAGGGTTCCTGGCAATTGAGACAAAAAAGGGAGCATTGAATACGGAAAGTGGCGAGAGTGGAGTATGAGTTTGAGGCAGATGGAGAGAGGGACACCCTTGAGGTTGAGGATGTGGTTCGCAGCCTTAACCGCATCAGCACGACATCGGATGCGGAATAGAATAATTTGGTTGCCCCAACCGCCCCCCAAAAAAAAAAAAACAAAAAGAAAAAAAATGATATATGTTTACAATACTCCACCTATTCTTAATATGGATTTAATTAAAGAGTTAATATTAGTTCTATATAAAATATCTATTTCATATATTTATTAATTTTTTAAAATTAATTATATTAATATTTCCTCGACAAGAGAGGGAGAGAATTAAAAAAAGATACCTAGAATATTTTTTTTTAAAAAATCATATTAGCTAATTTAACTAACATTTTTTATCTACTCAAATTAGTTAATTACATCTTATATTAAAGACCGAATACGCAAAAAGTGTCCAGAATAAGATTGTGAAACTCACAAGAACTCATAGGAAGGACGTAAACTTGGATGGCGAAATCGTATCATAAACTTATAAGAGTTTATCAACTTATCTTTATCAATAAATAATTATTAAATGAAATATGTAATAAAAATAATACATCTGGTTTCCATAATGAGAAGGTGGAATTTTAAGAATGCCAGCTTGCGGTTGAAGCACAGGCTCGTTACTTTGCTGGTGCATGAAAACGAGCTTCACGTGGCCTTCTCGTCGTTATTTGTATCATCAATAACACTATAATTCGTCGTTTGGAGGCAATCGTGTATGATTTTTCTGCACAGAAATATACTACCTCTAGTTTTAATTATAAGATTTTGTTTATAATCTATAAATGAGATCTTATAAATAAGACCGGAACATATATCTACGATTTTTCAAATGATGTCATGATATACGATATTGTCATCCATAACTTCTGATACAAAATTTTATAGCAGCTCATTAAAAAGTGTGGAATTGGCATTACTCCATGAGGAATATTATTTTGGTTCAACAGAAGCTAAATAGAAAAAGGGAAGGGGGGTAGTTTTTCATCTGCGTCAAAAGAAAGATGATTTTGTTCTGAAATATGCGAAAAGGAAGGAACAATATAACTCGCGTAATTTTTCATATTATTCTTTAGTTTTCCTAAAGCTTTATGGCCTCATTTATTTGGGAAAATTGGGGAAAGCTCCTCTGCTAGAAATTTTATTGGCAAGAAAAACTTGATAAATATTTATGCACAGAAAATATCAATATTTTACAAATTTTGTCCACATAGAATACCTGTACTCTAATTTAAGTCATACCACCCATAAAATTTTGAATGAGAACTTTTCTCCGATCTTTCCTATTTATTTTTAGACCAAGTCCACCTTGATAGGTTGAGCAAGTCAACATTTAATTGAATTATAAGATGAGTTTAAGAAAATTAATTAAATTTTAAACATATTTTTGGATTATAAGATGAGTAATAGACAATAAAATATCTGCAGTTCATATAATAGACATATAAATGGAAAAAAAAATGCCAAATTACAATATTAGAATTTTTATTAAGTCGTGTCCATGGATGAACGAGCCATAAAACACACATTTTCATACAAAGGATTATTTAGCTACTAATAAAAGCCACGGAAAGTCTCACATCAGCAAAACCAGTTTCTTTATTTTCGCCAGAGTAAATAATAACTAAGACACAAATATACCAGAATCTTATAGTACAATACAGCGACGCTAAGACGTGCCCAGCTAATAACTGCAAGCGAGTACGTATGTATTTGGTTATGGACCATGGAAAAACTCATCAGTAAAACGAGTTTCTCTGTTCTCTTAAGCGTCTGTCCATCAACCCAACCTCCATAAACCAGAATACTCATTTAGATGTTTGGTGCTCAGTCCAACTGAAGCTTCTTCCTGTGGCCCAAGACAACCTCGTAGATTTCCTTCTTATCTGCAAGTGATTTTTGAACACTTCCTCTCTGCAAGCATCTCTTTGCCCATTCAACGATCTTAGGACACTCTGCTTCCACTTTCAGGTACCCTATTGTCTCATAAACATAGAACCATTTATAGAATGGAATCAGAGCAACATCCACCAACCCAAATGTGTCACCTCCAAAATTTGGTTTGTCTCCAAGAGCTTCCTCCAATTGCTTCAAATTCAAAATCAATTCCTTCTTCGCCTGTTCATGCTCTTCAACATTTGCAGCCCAAATCCTCTTCCCAACCCCATGAACAATGCTTTGGTGACTTGAAAATTAACCACATGCGCAAACGCAGATGCCGCTGCATACGAATCAGCCTCAAGCAGGCTGCAGATTTTGGTAATAACACTTTCAGTACTGATAAACTTCACTAGACAGTGATCTAAATAATACAACTGACACTAATCTTGGAGCCAACAAAATCAGCCCAGAATTTGGCTTGAGCTCTCTGATCACGATCAGATAGAAGTAATGGAGCTTGACCCTTCCAAGCCTCATCAATGTACTCCGCGATTATGAGGGATTCGTTGATGGTTTCGTCGTTATGGATCAGAACCCCGATTGTCTTGTGAAACGGGTTCATTTGCAGAAGCAGAGGGCTTTTGTTGGTCAGATCCTCTTCCTTGTACTCAACTCCTTTCTCGGCCAATGCAACCTTTGCATCCAGCAAAACAACTCGTCTGCCATTATCAAACACGGCCACTGAAATCTCTAGTTGGAAAAATGAAACAGTGAAGTAAAAGTTACAGACAAGAACTGGATATTTCAAGAACAGAGAATGGAAAATATATTAAAGAAGAATGGATGATCCGTAACCCTTCATTCCAGTCTTGCGTGTCGGTAGTCAACAAGTTTATGTTTTCTCGTCGTTTCTTTGTGGGAAGTGGAATTCCGGGACCATCCAATCCTTTATGTCGCGCTTGTTGCTTCTTCAAAGGAGCTTTTGCAGTAAACGTTATTCGAGTAAACATACTTTTCTTCGTGCTCAGCCACAAACCTTGTGGATACTAGATCACAAAGTCTAGAAATTCCATATCATTAGAGGAACATACTACTTGACTTTTTAGATTTATCAACAAGTCTTTTATTGGGGTTTTGAATTATTTGAAATAGGGACTGGTTATTTTCTGTCTTCCATTGGTTTCTACTGTGAATTATCCGTAGTACACATTTCATGGAGAATGCAGAGGGCTTGGGTGAGTCCATGGTTTGACTTTTTGCACATTTGAGGAACCACACACGTTAACAAATGTCGAAGACACAACCGAGTATTTTCATCGTAAAACAACATCAAGAACACATTCCTACACACAACTTACTTTACTGCGTAATCATCAGACACAACCAAGTTGATTTCACCTTCTGACACACCTAAGGATCCACCAAGCGAAACTCAAACTTTAGAACAAAGTGTTTGTATCAAACACTTATTGGTTCTGTTTATTCTTAGCACACGTTTTGTATCCTTCATGTGTTTCATCAGTCCAAATGACTTTTCTTTCTGAAGTCAACAACAAAATCGTAGATCTCCTTCTCAGCAGCAAGAGATTTGGAAACACTTTGCCTCTGGATGCATCTATGAGCCCAGGCAATGAGCTTAGGACAATGTGTTTCCACCTTGAAGTTGCATAATGCCTCGTAGGTGCAAAACCAGGGATAGAATGGAACCAGAGCAATGTCAACAAACCCAAAGGTTTCACCTCCGAAGAAAGTTTTGTCTCCAAGTGTCTCTTCCAATCGCTTCAAGTTCTCCATTATCTCCTTCTTTGCCTCTTCGTGTTCTTCTTTCTTTCCTGCCCATATCCTTCCTCCAACATCTCCCACCTGCATTTAATGAACCATGATTAAAAGGGAGAGACGGAGATCGAGAAGCGCTGAAAAATTAGGAAATTACCTTCTTGTTGACAAAATCAGCACAGAATCTGGCTTGAGCTCTGAGAGAAGGATCAGAGGGAAGTAAAGGAGCCGTTTCTTTCCAAACTTCATCGATGTATTCTACTATTATGAGAGATTCACAAATGGGCTTGCCTTTGTGAATGAGAACTGGGATCTTCTTGTGAATTGGGTTCATTTGCAGAAGCAGAGGGCTCTTGTTGCTCAGATCTTCTTCCTTGTACTCGTATTTGATTCCCTTCTCAGCCAACGCTATTCTGGCTCTCGACCCAAACATGCTCAGCCACTCGTCCAATAACACTACCTCTTGTTCCGCCATTGTTCAGCTCAGATGAATCTTTCACTTTCTGCAGAACAGAATGAGTACGAGAAAGAAATTATAGGCGATAGATCTCAACAGCTGAAAGACACGTGTCGTTCGTTCTCTTTTGTCCTCTTATTTATTCTCTGTTCATCTGCTGCTCTGTTTGTGGGAGATCCCTTCAACTCCACGGTACTCATTCTATATTTCTCTTTTTTCAATCAAAAGTCAACGATTTTGATCCCCAAACGCATGAATATAGGATTCTGAGTTATGATTTTGTTTATGATATGCAATTAATGTGTGGGTGAAATTTTCTAGTTTTCAAGAGTTTGACAGAAAATGCTTACCTCGTAATCTTGTGGTATGAGAGCTTTTTGTAAGCGAAAAATTGCCCTTTCAATCCTCCTTATAGATTCAAACAGTTAGTGCTTGCCATTTTAAATAGGGAGAATGACAAGGAAAAAAGAAGGTAGACATTACTAAATTTCAAATCAGGTTTGATAATAACACTTTATTGGGTGACAATACTAAATTTGTAAATAACAACAAATTTTTATTGATATTTTTTATTTGGTATTTACAAATTTTTAGCTTCTTTTTTTGTCATTTACCCTTTTAACTAAGAGGGAAAAATGATAACAAGCGTAGGAAAATAAAAAGTGAATTAAGGAAAAAACAAATCAGAGGCTCACCCTGAGACTGATGTGGGCTTGGATTTTTCTAACGATCCAACCTTATTGGCCCAATATTACCAATCTCTACGAGTTCGATTTGGTTCGGTGTCTTCTATCAGACCCAAACCCAAACTATATAGGATTTGCTGTGCAGCTTTTCTTTTCCCTCCCCCCCCCCCCAACCCAAAAAAAAAAAAAAAGAGGCCGTGCAGCTTAACAAACGTCAATTCTTATATGAACAGACTTCAATTTATAAAGCCTAAAGAATTCTAGGGAAAAAGACCAAAACAAAATTGAAAATTATGAAAGTCCAATTTAGGCCCCTAATACTTCAAAAGCCCAAGAGAGGAAATTGTGTCTAATATGACATTTTGCAAATATAGTAAAATAACTAAAACGTTTTTGTTTCCAAATACTAATATTTTTTGTTTTCATTTTTATTACACCTGTTAGTATAATATTATTTTAAAATATATTGAACAAAATATTTTTTTTATTTTTTTCAATAATCTCCTCAATTTTAATCTTGATCCTTTTTCTTTAGGTACAATTTTGCCCCCTTATCTTTGGGTACAATTTTGCCTTTCAGGATCAAAATTGCACCATTATAAAGATCAAGGCAAAATTACGCTTCAAAAATAAAATTAAAGTCAAAATCACACCTTAACCCAAAATATATTCATGGTTTTCAGTAGCTCAAACAGATCTAAACACTAAAAAAATTCATTTTTTGTAGTCTCATTTTTTATGATTATTTAAATAGCAATAGTAGTAGCAGCAGTAATATTGTGATATTGATGATGATGAGGGAGTAGGAGGAGGACTCAAGCAGGAGGAGAGGTTTTTTCCCCGCCTGAAAAAGGCAAAAATAATTGGTTGCTAGGAAAGTTCGTTGTTTTAATTTAGACAGGAATGAGAGGAAAAACTCAATTTGAATTCCTTCCGATAGTGTTATTTGTGGAAGACTTTGACTTATACACCTCTGATATAGCAATGCAATTATTGTTCAAGTGAGGAAGCCTTTTACTTACAGATAAGGAGGATCTAGGCTTGTTCAAGTGCTTGTTTGGGTGAAAAAGTGATACCTGATTTGATATTTTATAATTATAGTTAAATGACTAAAATTTCAAACTCGTCATCATTAATAAATTTTTTGTTATTTGCTATTCAATACGTGTCATTATTAGTCCACAAGTTGTTAATAAACTTTTGGAAACAAGAGCATTCTAGTCATTTAACTATATTTACAAAATACCAGATCAGACGCTACTTCTTTTTTTGTGATTTCACAATTTTTCATGTTCTTTTTTTTGTCATTTTCCTAGAATTCTATGTGAACCAAAAAAGTTACAATTGTTATTTCATACCATTACATATAATTATGTAAACATTTTGACCCCGATTTTAGTGAAACTTGAATTCGACACACTTTTCATGAGTATCAAATGCGGAATATTTTCAAAATATATTTTTTTCCAGATACTAATATTTTTTGCTCTCATTTTTATTACACCTGTTAGTATAATATTATTTTAAAATATATTGAACAAAATTTTTTCCCAATAATCTCCTCAATAATATAAAAAAATGTATATAAAATGAATAAGATATATTCATGGTTTTCAGTACCTCAAACTGATATAAAGACTACAAAAAAAAATTCATTTTTTGTAGTCTCATTTTTTATGATTATTTAAATAACAATAGTAGTAGTGGCAGTAATGTTGTGATATTGATGATGATGAGGGAAGAGGAGGAGGAGAGGTTTTTTCCCCGCTTAAAAAAGGCAAAAATAGTTTATTGCTAGGAAAGTTCATTTCTTAAATTTAGACAGGAATGAGAGCAAAAACTCAATTTGAATTCCTTCCTATAGTGTTATTCGTGGAGAAACTTGACTTATACGCGTCTGATATGGAAATGCAATTATTGTTCAAGTGAGGAAGACCTTGACTTACTGATAGATAAGGAGGCCTTAGGCTTGTTCAAGTGCTTGTTTGAGTTTCATGTTGCATGAGCTAGCTGCAATCATGAGTACTCTGCGTAATCTAAATTTCGTGTAAGTGCTGCAACCAGTCATCATACTCATTCTGCACTTGCAGGCTGAGTTATTTATCATAGGCTCATGTTGCCTAAACAAGGAAAGACGAGCTCTTCTCAACATGAAGAATGCCTTTGTGGATGATTATGGTCATTTGTCTTCATGGGCTCTTCTCCAAATTGTTGCCTCTGGAGTCGTGTTTTCTGTAATCCTCAAACTGGCCACGTTGAGATGCTTGATCTCCATGGTGATCTTGAGTCCGGACAGCCTTTAAGAGGTGAGATTAGCCCATCATTGATGGACTTGCCAAACTTAAATTATTTAGATCTCAGTTACAATGATTTCAATGGCAGCGAAATCCCGAAATTCTTTGGTTCTCTCACCAAATTAAGATACCTCGATCTATCTTGGTTTTCTTTTGGCGGAAAAATACCAATTGAACTTGGTAAGCTTTTAGACCTGCGGGTTCTAAATCTTTCCCATAATGGTTTAGTTGGCAGTATACCTTTCCATCTTGCGAACCTTTCTAGTTTGCAAGAACTTTGTCTAGATTGGAATCATTTAGTTGGCAATATTCCTAGCCAGTTTGGTAATCTTTCAAGCTTGCAGATACTTTCAGTTGCCTACAATGATGATTTGAAAATTGATTACAAGAGCCCGGTTGGCATTGAGTGGCTTTCTAATCTTCAATCCTTAACTTCACTAGTCTTAAGTGATGTTAATCTTAATTACTCTAAGAACTTATTACCAATTATTGGGAGGCTTCCAAACCTTAGAGAGCTATACCTAGACAACTGTAGCCTAACTGATATTAATATTCTATCAACTCCTGCATCCCATTTAAATTTTACTCCTTCTCTTGTGTCTCTTGGTCTCGGTCAAAACAAGCTCACATCTGTTTTCCCTTGGCTTTT